CCTAAATTTGTAAATTTTTACGAACTTGTATCGGCGTATAATAAAAAATGATTACACATCCGGATTTTTATAAGATTACAGGTAACCAGAACGGCTTTAGAGCATCGACGACAAACGTCAACATTTACAATGTGAGATTTATGAAGATCCAATCAACTGACGCCACAGACTTTTGTATTCGAATAGAACTGTGTGGAACAGGTGAGTGCATGGCGGTATGTTAAAATCAGATAACCATGGATGTGTTGCTTGAGGCTTGTTCGTAAGCGCACAGATGAGGCACACCAGAATTATTTCAGCATTTTTTGCTAAAATCAGTGATAAGTCGGGTAATTCGTACTCGTGAGTCGGGTAACTTCTTCCGAAATCATTTGCAAGCTAACTCCGTGCACTCACGCCCATGATACCCAATATCAATGTGTTTTATCCAGAAGATGGTTTTCAATGCAGCTGTCTAAATTTACAAGTTTTTTTAGAAAGTAAATCACATTAGCCACCCTTGCTACAGCAACAGACACGTTAAAAATAGTGAAATAGACATTCTTCCATTCATTCCACACGTTAAAAAATTGATAATGAAATAGACTCCCCATTTTTTCCATAAAAATAAGCCTTATCAGCAGAAAAGATCATTTAAAAAATCAGTAGTAGTACGTTAAGCGCCACGGGGTTTGTCAAAAAGAGAAATCTTTATTAATTTAACCATACAGACAGATAACATGCAGAAATGTCTGCAATAGCGTAATTTATTATTTAATCGTGAGTCGCAGCCATGTCAACGTTTTTATACTTCACCGAACATATTGCTTTTACAACCTCGTCCTATGTTCTTTTGTATTTTTAGTTCAAACTCCAGCATCTGTAAAAAATCTTAGCATTACTCCGAAACAATATTCAGCAAATGTTGCGTTGGATATAGAAACACACGACGACGTATCTAGTTATATCACCAAGCTCAATGTATATCTCAATGGTCAAAAACACATGACTGTTACTCGAGAATCTGACAATATTAATGACTTCAATATTACTGGACTCAAGCCATACGTCGTTTATGTTGTTGGAATTGAGACTGAAGATAGTCATTCTCAAAAGAGCATCAGGGTTTCTAAAAAAATTAAAACAAAAGGAGCAGGTATGTTCTAAGTATATATACTCCGGCATCAAACAGACCATATCTTAGCAAAGTATAAATGCCCTCTTAAATTAGGAGACAATAATACCTTCATAAATCTATGTTTCTTTCAAAGATGATCTTAGTGGACCCCCATTAGATGTTTCTGTGAAATCTCAAGGCAAATATACATTGGAAATATCGTGGAAAGCTCCAGATAAAAGCTCCAATGCAAAAACTGAGAAATTACCCACGTTGACTGGATATCAAGTTTGCTTTTATTCCAACCAATCTCCTTCAGAATGCACTGTGCTGAAAAGCTCGAAGGTGCTTTCATTTACGCTAAAAGATCTCCAGCCTTCTACGAAGTACTTTGTGACGGTCTCGGCCAGAAATAGTAAGTTAGTAAAATAACAAATGGAGGTAATTTAAGAAAGGGTAATGTTGGCATGTATGCGCATATAATTCTTATGAAGCAATACCATTTTTTCCAGTGACCTATATTATGGCTAATAATGAATGTTTTCATTCGTGCAATGGTAAGAATATTTTCATGAGGTGAAAGATGGAATGTTCCATCATAGACAATCCAGAAGACATGTCTTCTGGATTGTCTATGGTTCCATTCAACGAAGAGAAGCCGAGATACCAAAAAAGATCAACTTAATGAATGATTTTTTTATTAAGTAAACATATTGCAAATGATACATAGTATATGCACAATTAGAACTTAGTGAAATTTAGTGAAACCAACCGTGCACGGTCAGTAAAATGGAAATTTTTATTTAATTCCACGTGATCAAAAACAACCAATTGAAAGACATTATATTAATAACGTGTTATATAAACTATATTATTTAATTCAGTTTCCATGCAACTATATAATTATTCTGATTTTTATTCATACTGTTATTCTATTTTTAGAACCTGTGAATCCTCTCACAACTTCCTACTACACTCTCACCTTAAACATCGTCAGGCCAGCCCAATATATTCGGTACGTTTTTATGCTATTCATAGAATTAGATGATTTAGAGTTTTCGCTATGAATGCGCAAAAGTGGGACTAGGATATTTAAACAGGCATCGGCTATATACATTACAGCAATTGAGAATGCATGCAGAAAAAGAGAAAACAGCATGAGCTCTTAATCTAAATTTAGACAAGTGATGGTCATCGTTCAAAAAGCCACAGGCAGTCCACCGAGGAGCGAAAATATTAAAACAAGCAAACTCAGACCGTTTCAGACGAATACTCAAGATCCTTATATCACGGCTTATTTGAAAACCGATGAGCTTCCTTCAATGTTTGTGATCGGCGATGGCAAGAGTTATAGTTCGGACACAGAAAACTATTTCAACCAGCATTTAACAGCTAATTCCAGTTATATCGTGTTCATGAGATATTTTGAAAGTCAGGTAAATAACCCAGAGATTAATCTTAACATTTTAATTGATGAAATCAATAAAGCTGCTGTTAAATTAAATCATTGCAATGCAATGAGAAAATATTTCTTGTACACCGAAGTAATGAACAAATATATGAGATTATATACTGGGTATTTCTTATATTTTATATTATCGAGGATTCGTACTACTCCACAGAATGGAGCAGCAGTTTTAAAACAATAGGAAATGCGCCAGGTAAAAAATATCATATTTTTAAATTCAAGTTTATTATTTTACTTTAAAGTTTAGACATCAGTTGTTCATGACTTCATCAACTGCGTGTACCTACATGCAGACAAGATAATCTTTCTTGAAATTTGTTTCTAGTTTGTGCGCACAGTAAGAATTCTGAACTGTTTACCGTGGACAAAACCCGTCTGTATCTTCTTATACCGCTGGTTATTTTGGCCTTATGTTTCCTGCTTTCGATGGGCGTTATCATTTACCAACGTCGTCTTATTCGGAATAACGCAAGAGAAGTCAGCCAGATGAAAAATTTCGGTAGGCATAGAATTTTTGTCAAACTAAACTAAATTGAGTTGATTTCATAGCGATATTCTAATGAGAAAACACAAAACATATGTACAGAATAATTATGATGGAAGCAACCCTGCATGTATCGGGAACTAATAATGCTGCTGCATGCATGTGATACTAAAAATCCTCGAAATTCTAAAAAGAGTTACTGAATCTTGGCAGAATATATTTGAATTTTTTTCCGGAATTTTTTTACTGCCCCAGCCCAGTTACTTAAAAACCCTGCGTGTGGGCCTGTTCATTAGTCGTTTTTATATCTAAAAATGTTAGTAGAAGGAGCCTAGTAGAAGGTAAGTATAAAGAAGAGAGACTAGCTTGGACGTTTTCCTAGATTGGAAATCTCCAATACTGAGTTCGATGAAATGTTTTCCACATTCTGGGCGTGTCAGGGGTGGATCCAGCACTAGTGCACTAATTTGCATGACACAAGAAAACTGCTAAAAATAACCACTTTGTTTGTAATGCAAATTTGTGCACTAGTGCTGGATCCACCCCTGGGCGTGTAGTTCAGTATGCAAGTAGAGGGGAGAGAGGAGAGGGCAAGAGGGAGAGAGAGAGATTAGAACAGCTAGTCTATGAAAAGAGATATTGGGAGCTAGAACGGTATACAACTACAACCATTGTACAAGTTTTACTGTTCGTTTCGTTCCAAAAGGTCGACAAAACAACAAGTACAATCTAGAAGCTCGAAATGATGCAAACATAAATGAAGAGAGGGTGTATGAAACACCAGTTGATGTCACTGGAATTGAGTGAAATGAGGCTGCACTTGAGACAACCCGGGACGAGGTTACATCGACCTACATGGCGTTGAAGGGCAACAAAGAACCAGCAAACGTTTATCAGGCGCTGCAGCACCTCGGGACCAAAAATGATGATCATAGTCTTACTAAGGATGTTGGTCATTCAATGGATTATCAAAATCCTTCCTTTCAGGCAAATTGAGTGGTGATTGATTTAATATTTATGATCGATGAACCAAGAGTGATAATTGTCTTATGGATGTAATAGACATATGTATCAGTCATCTTTTCATTTATGTTGATATTATACTCAAAAATACTTAAAATAATCAAAATACTCAATGTCTGCCTTATCAAAATTTTCAGCATATTGTGAGACCCGCCGAGAGCCACTGAACAATTTATAATCAGCTATCTCTGATATATTCATACAAGGAAATAGTTGGAATTCAAAGTGTAATAGTAATATTTTCAAAGAGATTTTCAAAGTTCGCATTCTTCAAACCTTGGGTACCAGGTTGAAATATGACTAACAGGGTGTGCAAGACTTGAGGAGGACGGACTGAGGAGGCCAAGATAATGACGTAATTCCTATAGGCAATTTATATTAATGCACTTTTCTCAAAAGTCTTCTTTACAAGGGCCGTTCCGAGGTCTATCGGGGGGGGGAGGAGGGGGTGGCTTTGCCCCAGACGAAGTCCAATAAAGCAATAGAGCGATATAATGGAAGTAGAGTAAAACTTGGCTTTGCTGGAAAAATTGTCATTTGGAGTAAAACCTTTCCACGCCTGTAGCAGTAAGCCAGACTAATTGTGAAAACAGCGAATTTCTTTAAGAAATGAATAGTTATAATAACTTATAATTTGCAAAGCTGCCAAAGCATGACTAAATCGTCGGTTGGGCTACGCCACACTGCTGATGAAAGTGTTAAACATTTTATTATATCAGAACTAACTCACCTATTTCAATTACAAAGCTCTTATATACCTAGTCTAAATTAACATAAGTTTAATTATGATAACTAATCATGCTACTGCCAACAACTTTGTCGCCAAATTTCTATGATGATAAGGAAATATAGCTCAGTGAGCCAGAGAAAAATGCTCTGCGCAGAGGACGAAAGAGGCAAAGTGCACAGGAAGTCTGGAACCCACTTTCCGTTTCGTCATTTTGGCGCAAGATGGCGGACTCTAGTTCATCAAAGTTGGCCGAACAGGTATAAATTATTGCCCTTTTCTACCTCACTTATCGACGCAAATCAAGTGAAAAAATTTGAAGTTGGCGAACGTTACTATAATCGTCGTATAACAACAATTTTTGCTTGTTTCTAGGCTTATTCGGACGAAATTTCATTCAAATCGAATATGCTTTTCCCCATGCCCCTGGAAGAAAACGAAAATTTAGACTCGTTAAATGATGAAACGTTTGGCTCAGGATCATTCGGTTTGTTTATAATGATATTTTTTATTTTATAATAAAAATTTCTTGTCCAGATAAACAGCCGATAATTTTTGTACAGTTATACTGTACCAAACTATATGTACTTTTAATCATATATCCAGGTTTGAAAACGTGTTTCTGTTCTATCCCATTCATGTCATTTATTCTTATCTCTTTACTTCAGCTTTTATCCGTATTTCATATTCTTATCCCTATTTTAGCATGTTATTCCATTTCTGATTTTTATCCCTTCACCTGACTGACCTGAGTTTTATCTTCATTTTCCATTTCTTTCAGTTTTTCTTTTATGACTCACTTTTAGTGCTTCATTCTGATCCATAATGTTTCTTTTTAAAAAATGCTAGGTTAAAGCAAAAAAAAATGTTTAATTATGAATGCTACAAGGCCAGTTGCTTCTTCAGTATGTGATATTTCTATCACGAAAGGATAAGATTGTTTATGTGACTAAATATGCCTTCTTAGTTCTTCAAATACTTCATCCCAATGATAATCTCTACAATGAATGTAAGATTATTTGCGAGTACCATATAATCATGCTTTGTTATGGCTTTATAGATAGTGAATGGGTAGATTCAGATAAACCTGATAAGATGGTTGATGAATTTGAGCAATGGAAGAAGCAGCAAAAGGCAATATCTAAGAAGGGTATCCCACTTGATGAGGCACCCTTGCAGATTCCAAGTGAGGTTGGTAATCATTCATTATTTTACTAGCAGACACTAGCCATTAAACTTTGCCAAATTTGTAGAATACAACACCTGTACTGCACTATTTGTACACTCTTTTTGTTAATGAGACTTTTGACTTTTGAATTTTGTGCATGCATAAGATTGAACAATTTACCTATAACATAGTACACATCAAATGTCCTTAATTGTCATCAAGGAAACACTTAGTAACACTTATGTCACAACCAGACCTGCTAGTAATTTCATTGCAACATTTTCCTGTTATGCTTCAGCTTGGCTACCTTATGGTTGTTATTAATTTCTTTATTGTTCCACAGGAAAAAATGGCACAAGCTATTTCAAAATTGGATAATCTTGGCATCGCAACTCCCAAACTGGTAAAGCTTTTGTTCATTTATCCACTTCCATACATCCAGTCAACCAACCACCACTGAGGGCTAATTGCTTTTATCCATTTTATCTAGGAGCAAGAAGACCCTCTCCCAAATGCTCATGCTATAGAGGCTTTATGGCCCACCTCACCAAAACATAGTAGCAACATTGTTTCACCTGACCACTCACCTTACCACATGACTGATTTGGTGAGAACATTTTGTAAACTGTGATTATTGTGTTTACAGATCTCAGTAGAGAATACATTATTCCAGTTAAGTACTTATTTGCAACAGCACTATATACTGTACAAATTGAGAGCGCAGCAAGTTGATGGTTTTGCAATTTTGCCAAACTTTACCTTTTCAGAATTTAATATCAAATCATGCATAATCCTAAAATTTAGTTAAAACTCATACCAAGGGTCTCTAAAATTACTTTTCCTAATATCTGCCAAGTTAGCAATAGGCAAAGTTCTTTTTTTCCTATTTATGATTTATACTTTTAAAGAAAAGGCTATGTACATACAACATGAAAAACTCACAATATAAACATTTGACTTCTCAAGCTTTCTCCAACTCACAATATCTGGGGATCACCTACAAGTGATGAAAAAATTTCCATTGACATGGACGAAAAGCTCGCAGATCACACGAAAAACTGTCTTGATCAAGAAGATAATAGAAAACCATTTTCCCCTGTTCTGGAGGTAATCACTGTTTGTGTTACAGTATACTGTATATAGTTTGGTAATAATTGCGTAAGGAAACTTGACAAGGAATGTCACCCAATTATATAAGTTCACAAGATGTGTCCCTTGTTTTGAAATTCGTCCCTAAGATAGCTATGCTATTTATTGCTAGTCAGACAAATTCCTTTGGCAGTCAGCAAGTGCGAGAGGTGTTCGAAAGGGTCTCATATATTCGTTCTTTTTATTATCTAGGACGAGGCCATAGTTTCGGCCCTTCCGAAGAGAATATCGAAGCCAATACGTGTGGAAGACGTAGAAAAGATGGGTTTTGGTCACCAGGTTAATCAGTTACCACCTCATCTCCGGCCGTTTGCGAATGGTGTACCCAAGGTCAGACCTCCTCCAGGATTCCCTCCAAATATGAACCCCCGGGTAAGATTTGCATGTTTCAGTTCTGTCAATCTGTTAATCATTAGGAAATGAAGTTTACGGAAAAGTTCTAGCAACAGCAGTTTTTCAAATTTTACTGCATAAAACCTGTACGACCTGCCTCGATTGCGATTAACCGTGAAGTACGTGTAGGGTGCAACGGCGGTTATTTATTCATTTCAGATTTGTGTTGTTTTTTATTGTTTACTATTCCCAGTTGGACACGTAAGATTGCCATTCAAGTCTTTTTAAATATTTTACATTTGCAGAACCGAGAATATCACGAACTCTGGTGTAGTATATATAGATTAATATATAGATGGTGTAGACTAAAATATATATGTAGAATTAAAATTTTTGTGACTACAATTATATATTCTCTTCCAGAGTCCATTTCCAATGCACCCACCCGGTCCCTATGGCCCCCCTCCTATTCCCGCAGTTCCTCAAAATGTTGCTCAGGCACAAGCTCAGGCGTTATACACAGCTATGATGAATCAAAGGATGCCTTTCCCCCAACCTTTCCCCCGCACACCGCCTTCTCAACCACCACACTTCCCGCGACCTGTTTATCACTCCGATCCAGGTATGTTCTTGTTTATTATCGCTTCATTTAATCATCTCTTCTTTTTAGAGTTTTTAAATTGTTCAACGGTTTATATTTGTATCCAACATAGGTCATTTAAGGCAGCGAGGTCCACCGATGCCAATACCTCACCAACACGGTCGCTTTATCACTCCCCAGCCACGAAACACCTGGAACAATCAGCGTGTTGGCCGTAACCAAGACAACCGTAGGCGTCAGCAAAATTTCTCGGAATCCCCTGGTTTGAAATACATCCCACAATACTACGTGAGCAGCGATGATGACGATGAGGGTGATAAAGGGACACTGATGACCGCTAAAGAGAAAGACTGGATAATTAGGATACAATTGATGCAATTGACAAGTGATAAACCAGAGTTGGATGACTATTATTTTCATGTAAGCTAATTTCGCCCTGTGATTTTGTGGTATTGTTTGTATAACTTGTTTTTTTCTCTTTCGGTATGCCATCCCACATGACGTCACAAATAGTGTTGTCGCAAGAAATAGGGCCTAAGTTTGTTTCGAGTTGCGATAGTAGCTATTACGGTTAATGCTATCGACCTAAACACAAAATATTCTGTTGCAGGGTTGTCTTTCATTGCAGGGTTACACGTAATATAATATAATTATGTTCTTGCTTAGACCTTTGAGAGACGTCGTTTGGCTAAAGAGAGATCTCAAAGTACAACTGGAGTGGAACTGGAAACAAACCATACTAATAAGGATATAAAGATGACTTTACCTCACGTCACTAAAGGCGATCACAACTACAAACCAAGTACGCATACTGCTTGTCAAACAGCTCCAACAAGATTTAAGTTATCACACAAACCACCAACAAAATTTCGTGTGATTTTTATAGTTCTGTGATTCGTGCGTTCCTACGAATTGTTAACCATACCTTTCTTTCATAGCCAAGTTTGAAGGATCTCTCGGTCAAGTTTCCGTCGGCTCTGTTTTTCATCCACGCGAGGTCGTTCAAGTTGGTGATTCAGGAAAGCCTAAAGGACCTGTAAGTATCTCTGCTATAACCTTTCACAGATTGAAATCGATTGTACACCTCGAATTCCACAGCATGTAATAACCTTAAAACTTTTGCACCAAATTTTTATTGTATCTTCAGCCTATTAAGATTATTCAAATGTAACCCTTAATAACGTGATGGATAGAGATTGGTTAAATTCTATGATGTGCTAACAATAGACCTGAAATAGTTAAGTTTTATTGGTTATTCCATGGTCACAATATCTGAAATGGGTTAATTTTCATGCAAGCTGAAAAGGTCTATTTAAGGAACTATCCTCAAAATAGCTTATTTAGATACAAAGTCTTATTCGTAAGTATGTGTGTTCACGTTAGTTAAATATCGCAGCAAATTTCGCTTATCATTTTGGAACGGATTTCCCTCATAAGGTCATCTAGATATACTTACTTTAATTGTATCTATATTAAACAACAATTCTCGTGTATAGGTTGGCTCTTTAAAAGAAACCAAAAAGAAATACCAATTGCTCTTAACAATTGAAAAGGTTGAGTATCTTAAATTTACATGTAATCTACATTTTGAGCTCGTTCTTTGTTTTCTGTATTGAACATTGAAATATCGATACATTGATATACATTGGAAATATCGTGGAAAGCTCCAGATAAAAGCTCCAATGCAAAAACTGAGAAATTACCCACGTTGACTGGATATCAAGTTTGCTTTTATTCCAACCAATCTCCTTCAGAATGCACTGTGCTGAAAAGCTCGAAGGTGCTTTCATTTACGCTAAAAGATCTCCAGCCTTCTACGAAGTACTTTGTGACGGTCTCGGCCAGAAATAGTAAGTTAGTAAAATAACAAATGGAGGTAATTTAAGAAAGGGTAATGTTGGCATGTATGCGCATATAATTCTTATGAAGCAATACCATTTTTTCCAGTGACCTATATTATGGCTAATAATGAATGTTTTCATTCGTGCAATGGTAAGAATATTTTCATGAGGTGAAAGATGGAATGTTCCATCATAGACAATCCAGAAGACATGTCTTCTGGATTGTCTATGGTTCCATTCAACGAAGAGAAGCCGAGATACCAAAAAAGATCAACTTAATGAATGATTTTTTTATTAAGTAAACATATTGCAAATGATACATAGTATATGCACAATTAGAACTTAGTGAAATTTAGTGAAACCAACCGTGCACGGTCAGTAAAATGGAAATTTTTATTTAATTCCACGTGATCAAAAACAACCAATTGAAAGACATTATATTAATAACGTGTTATATAAACTATATTATTTAATTCAGTTTCCATGCAACTATATAATTATTCTGATTTTTATTCATACTGTTATTCTATTTTTAGAACCTGTGAATCCTCTCACAACTTCCTACTACACTCTCACCTTAAACATCGTCAGGCCAGCCCAATATATTCGGTACGTTTTTATGCTATTCATAGAATTAGATGATTTAGAGTTTTCGCTATGAATGCGCAAAAGTGGGACTAGGATATTTAAACAGGCATCGGCTATATACATTACAGCAATTGAGAATGCATGCAGAAAAAGAGAAAACAGCATGAGCTCTTAATCTAAATTTAGACAAGTGATGGTCATCGTTCAAAAAGCCACAGGCAGTCCACCGAGGAGCGAAAATATTAAAACAAGCAAACTCAGACCGTTTCAGACGAATACTCAAGATCCTTATATCACGGCTTATTTGAAAACCGATGAGCTTCCTTCAATGTTTGTGATCGGCGATGGCAAGAGTTATAGTTCGGACACAGAAAACTATTTCAACCAGCATTTAACAGCTAATTCCAGTTATATCGTGTTCATGAGATATTTTGAAAGTCAGGTAAATAACCCAGAGATTAATCTTAACATTTTAATTGATGAAATCAATAAAGCTGCTGTTAAATTAAATCATTGCAATGCAATGAGAAAATATTTCTTGTACACCGAAGTAATGAACAAATATATGAGATTATTATACTGGGTATTTCTTATATTTTTATATTATCGAGGATTCGTACTACTCCACAGAATGGAGCAGCAGTTTTAAAACAATAGGAAATGCGCCAGGTAAAAAATATCATATTTTTAAATTCAAGTTTATTATTTTACTTTAAAGTTTAGACATCAGTTGTTCATGACTTCATCAACTGCGTGTACCTACATGCAGACAAGATAATCTTTCTTGAAATTTGTTTCTAGTTTGTGCGCACAGTAAGAATTCTGAACTGTTTACCGTGGACAAAACCCGTCTGTATCTTCTTATACCGCTGGTTATTTTGGCCTTATGTTTCCTGCTTTCGATGGGCGTTATCATTTACCAACGTCGTCTTATTCGGAATAACGCAAGAGAAGTCAGCCAGATGAAAAATTTCGGTAGGCATAGAATTTTTGTCAAACTAAACTAAATTGAGTTGATTTCATAGCGATATTCTAATGAGAAAACACAAAACATATGTACAGAATAATTATGATGGAAGCAACCCTGCATGTATCGGGAACTAATAATGCTGCTGCATGCATGTGATACTAAAAATCCTCGAAATTCTAAAAAGAGTTACTGAATCTTGGCAGAATATATTTGAATTTTTTTCCGGAATTTTTTTACTGCCCCAGCCCAGTTACTTAAAAACCCTGCGTGTGGGCCTGTTCATTAGTCGTTTTTATATCTAAAAATGTTAGTAGAAGGAGCCTAGTAGAAGGTAAGTATAAAGAAGAGAGACTAGCTTGGACGTTTTCCTAGATTGGAAATCTCCAATACTGAGTTCGATGAAATGTTTTCCACATTCTGGGCGTGTCAGGGGTGGATCCAGCACTAGTGCACTAATTTGCATGACACAAGAAAACTGCTAAAAATAACCACTTTGTTTGTAATGCAAATTTGTGCACTAGTGCTGGATCCACCCCTGGGGCGTGTAGTTCAGTATGCAAGTAGAGGGGAGAGAGGAGAGGGCAAGAGGGAGAGAGAGAGATTAGAACAGCTAGTCTATGAAAAGAGATATTGGGAGCTAGAACGGTATACAACTACAACCATTGTACAAGTTTTACTGTTCGTTTCGTTCCAAAAGGTCGACAAAACAACAAGTACAATCTAGAAGCTCGAAATGATGCAAACATAAATGAAGAGAGGGTGTATGAAACACCAGTTGATGTCACTGGAATTGAGTGAAATGAGGCTGCACTTGAGACAACCCGGGACGAGGTTACATCGACCTACATGGCGTTGAAGGGCAACAAAGAACCAGCAAACGTTTATCAGGCGCTGCAGCACCTCGGGACCAAAAATGATGATCATAGTCTTACTAAGGATGTTGGTCATTCAATGGATTATCAAAATCCTTCCTTTCAGGCAAATTGAGTGGTGATTGATTTAATATTTATGATCGATGAACCAAGAGTGATAATTGTCTTATGGATGTAATAGACATATGTATCAGTCATCTTTTCATTTATGTTGATATTATACTCAAAAATACTTAAAATAATCAAAATACTCAATGTCTGCCTTATCAAAATTTTCAGCATATTGTGAGACCCGCCGAGAGCCACTGAACAATTTATAATCAGCTATCTCTGATATATTCATACAAGGAAATAGTTGGAATTCAAAGTGTAATAGTAATATTTTCAAAGAGATTTTCAAAGTTCGCATTCTTCAAACCTTGGGTACCAGGTTGAAATATGACTAACAGGGTGTGCAAGACTTGAGGAGGACGGACTGAGGAGGCCAAGATAATGACGTAATTCCTATAGGCAATTTATATTAATGCACTTTTCTCAAAAGTCTTCTTTACAAGGGCCGTTCCGAGGTCTATCGGGGGGGGAGGAGGGGTGGCTTTGCCCCAGACGAAGTCCAATAAAAGCAATAGAGCGATATAATGGAAGTAGAGTAAAACTTGGCTTTGCTGGAAAAATTGTCATTTGGAGTAAAACCTTTCCACGCCTGTAGCAGTAAGCCAGACTAATTGTGAAAACAGCGAATTTCTTTAAGAAATGAATAGTTATAATAACTTATAATTTGCAAAGCTGCCAAAGCATGACTAAATCGTCGGTTGGGCTACGCCACACTGCTGATGAAAGTGTTAAACATTTTATTATATCAGAACTAACTCACCTATTTCAATTACAAAGCTCTTATATACCTAGTCTAAATTAACATAAGTTTAATTATGATAACTAATCATGCTACTGCCAACAACTTTGTCGCCAAATTTCTATGATGATAAGGAAATATAGCTCAGTGAGCCAGAGAAAAATGCTCTGCGCAGAGGACGAAAGAGGCAAAGTGCACAGGAAGTCTGGAACCCACTTTCCGTTTCGTCATTTTGGCGCAAGATGGCGGACTCTAGTTCATCAAAGTTGGCCGAACAGGTATAAATTATTGCCCTTTTCTACCTCACTTATCGACGCAAATCAAGTGAAAAAATTTGAAGTTGGCGAACGTTACTATAATCGTCGTATAACAACAATTTTTGCTTGTTTCTAGGCTTATTCGGACGAAATTTCATTCAAATCGAATATGCTTTTCCCCATGCCCCTGGAAGAAAACGAAAATTTAGACTCGTTAAATGATGAAACGTTTGGCTCAGGATCATTCGGTTTGTTTATAATGATATTTTTTATTTTATAATAAAAATTTCTTGTCCAGATAAACAGCCGATAATTTTTGTACAGTTATACTGTACCAAACTATATGTACTTTTAATCATATATCCAGGTTTGAAAACGTGTTTCTGTTCTATCCCATTCATGTCATTTATTCTTATCTCTTTACTTCAGCTTTTATCCGTATTTCATATTCTTATCCCTATTTTAGCATGTTATTCCATTTCTGATTTTTATCCCTTCACCTGACTGACCTGAGTTTTATCTTCATTTTCCATTTCTTTCAGTTTTTCTTTTATGACTCACTTTTAGTGCTTCATTCTGATCCATAATGTTTCTTTTTAAAAAATGCTAGGTTAAAGCAAAAAAAAATGTTTAATTATGAATGCTACAAGGCCAGTTGCTTCTTCAGTATGTGATATTTCTATCACGAAAGGATAAGATTGTTTATGTGACTAAATATGCCTTCTTAGTTCTTCAAATACTTCATCCCAATGATAATCTCTACAATGAATGTAAGATTATTTGCGAGTACCATATAATCATGCTTTGTTATGGCTTTATAGATAGTGAATGGGTAGATTCAGATAAACCTGATAAGATGGTTGATGAATTTGAGCAATGGAAGAAGCAGCAAAAGGCAATATCTAAGAAGGGTATCCCACTTGATGAGGCACCCTTGCAGATTCCAAGTGAGGTTGGTAATCATTCATTATTTTACTAGCAGACACTAGCCATTAAACTTTGCCAAATTTGTAGAATACAACACCTGTACTGCACTATTTGTACACTCTTTTTGTTAATGAGACTTTTGACTTTTGAATTTTGTGCATGCATAAGATTGAACAATTTACCTATAACATAGTACACATCAAATGTCCTTAATTGTCATCAAGGAAACACTTAGTAACACTTATGTCACAACCAGACCTGCTAGTAATTTCATTGCAACATTTTCCTGTTATGCTTCAGCTTGGCTACCTTATGGTTGTTATTAATTTCTTTATTGTTCCACAGGAAAAAATGGCACAAGCTATTTCAAAATTGGATAATCTTGGCATCGCAACTCCCAAACTGGTAAAGCTTTTGTTCATTTATCCACTTCCATACATCCAGTCAACCAACCACCACTGAGGGCTAATTGCTTTTATCCATTTTATCTAGGAGCAAGAAGACCCTCTCCCAAATGCTCATGCTATAGAGGCTTTATGGCCCACCTCACCAAAACATAGTAGCAACATTGTTTCACCTGACCACTCACCTTACCACATGACTGATTTGGTGAGAACATTTTGTAAACTGTGATTATTGTGTTTACAGATCTCAGTAGAGAATACATTATTCCAGTTAAGTACTTATTTGCAACAGCACTATATACTGTACAAATTAGAGCGCAGCAAGTTGATGGTTTGCAATTTTGCCAAACTTTACCTTTTCAGAATTTAATATCAAATCATGCATAATCCTAAAATTTAGTTAAAACTCATACCAAGGGTCTCTAAAATTACTTTTCCTAATATCTGCCAAGTTAGCAATAGGCAAAGTTCTTTTTTTCCTATTTATGATTTATACTTTTAAAGAAAAGGCTATGTACATACAACATGAAAAACTCACAATATAAACATTTGACTTCTCAAGCTTTCTCCAACTCACAATATCTGGGGATCACCTACAAGTGATGAAAAAATTTCCATTGACATGGACGAAAAGCTCGCAGATCACACGAAAAACTGTCTTGATCAAGAAGATAATAGAAAACCATTTTCCCCTGTTCTGGAGGTAATCACTGTTTGTGTTACAGTATACTGTATATAGTTTGGTAATAATTGCGTAAGGAAACTTGACAAGGAATGTCACCCAATTATATAAGTTCACAAGATGTGTCCCTTGTTTTGAAATTCGTCCCTAAGATAGCTATGCTATTTATTGCTAGTCAGACAAATTCCTTTGGCAGTCAGCAAGTGCGAGAGGTGTTCGAAAGGGTCTCATATATTCGTTCTTTTTATTATCTAGGACGAGGCCATAGTTTCGGCCCTTCCGAAGAGAATATCGAAGCCAATACGTGTGGAAGACGTAGAAAAGATGGGTTTTGGTCACCAGGTTAATCAGTTACCACCTCATCTCCGGCCGTTTGCGAATGGTGTACCCAAGGTCAGACCTCCTCCAGGATTCCCTCCAAATATGAACCCCCGGGTAAGATTTGCATGTTTCAGTTCTGTCAATCTGTTAATCATTAGGAAATGAAGTTTACGGAAAAGTTCTAGCAACAGCAGTTTTTCAAATTTTACTGCATAAAACCTGTACGACCTGCCTCGATTGCGATTAACCGTGAAGTACGTGTAGGGTGCAACGGCGGTTATTTATTCATTTCAGATTTGTGTTGTTTTTTATTGTTTTATTCCCAGTTGGACACGTAAGATTGCCATTCAAGTCTTTTTAAATATTTTACATTTGCAGAACCGAGAATATCACGAACTCTGGTGTAGTATATATAGATTAATATATAGATGGTGTAGAATATATGTAGAATTAAAATTTTTGTGACTACAATTATATATTCTCTTCCAGAGTCCATTTCCAATGCACCCACCCGGTCCCTATGGCCCCCCTCCTATTCCCGCAGTTCCTCAAAATGTTGCTCAGGCACAAGCTCAGGCGTTATACACAGCTATGATGAATCAAAGGATGCCTTTCCCCCAACCTTTCCCCCGCACACCGCCTTCTCAACCACCACACTTCCCGCGACCTGTTTATCACTCCGATCCAGGTATGTTCTTGTTTATTATCGCTTCATTTAATCATCTCTTCTTTTTAGAGTTTTTAAATTGTTCAACGGTTTATATTTGTATCCAACATAGGTCATTTAAGGCAGCGAGGTCCACCGATGCCAATACCTCACCAACACGGTCGCTTTATCACTCCCCAGCCACGAAACACCTGGAACAATCAGCGTGTTGGCCGTAACCAAGACAACCGTAGGCGTCAGCAAAATTTCTCGGAATCCCCTGGTTTGAAATACATCCCACAATACTACGTGAGCAGCGATGATGACGATGAGGGTGATAAAGGGACACTGATGACCGCTAAAGAGAAAGACTGGATAATTAGGATACAATTGATGCAATTGACAAGTGATAAACCAGAGTTGGATGACTATTATTTTCATGTAAGCTAATTTCGCCCTGTGATTTTGTGTGGTATTGTTTGTATAACTTGTTTTTTTCTCTTTCGGTATGCCATCCCACATGACGTCACAAATAGTGTTGTCGCAAGAAATAGGGCCTAAGTTTGTTTCGAGTTGCGATAGTAGCTATTACGGTTAATGCTATCGACCTAAACACAAAATATTCTGTTGCAGGGTTGTCTTTCATTGCAGGGTTACACGTAATATAATATAATTATGTTCTTGCTTAGACCTTTGAGAGACGTCGTTTGGCTAAAGAGAGATCTCAAAGTACAACTGGAGTGGAACTGGAAACAAACCATACTAATAAGGATATAAAGATGACTTTACCTCACGTCACTAAAGGCGATCACAACTACAAACCAAGTACGCATACTGCTTGTCAAACAGCTCCAACAAGATTTAAGTTATCACACAAACCACCAACAAAATTTCGTGTGATTTTTATAGTTCTGTGATTCGTGCGTTCCTACGAATTGTTAACCATACCTTTCTTTCATAGCCAAGTTTGAAGGATCTCTCGGTCAAGTTTCCGTCGGCTCTGTTTTTCATCCACGCGAGGTCGTTCAAGTTGGTGATTCAGGAAAGCCTAAAGGACCTGTAAGTATCTCTGCTATAACCTTTCACAGATTGAAATCGATTGTACACCTCGAATTCCACAGCATGTAATAACCTTAAAACTTTTGCACCAAATTTTTATTGTATCTTCAGCCTATTAAGATTATTCAAATGTAACCCTTAATAACGTGATGGATAGAGATTGGTTAAATTCTATGATGTGCTAACAATAGACCTGAAATAGTTAAGTTTTATTGGTTATTCCATGGTCACAATATCTGAAATGGGTTAATTTTCATGCAAGCTGAAAAGGTCTATTTAAGGAACTATCCTCAAAATAGCTTATTTAGATACAAAGTCTTATTCGTAAGTATGTGTGTTCACGTTAGTTAAATATCGCAGCAAATTTCGCTTATCATTTTGGAACGGATTTCCCTCATAAGGTCATCTAGATATACTTACTTTAATTGTATCTATATTAAACAACAATTCTCGTGTATAGGTTGGCTCTTTAAAAGAAACCAAAAAGAAATACCAATTGCTCTTAACAATTGAAAAGGTTGAGTATCTTAAATTTACATGTAATCTACATTTTGAGCTCGTTCTTTGTTTTCTGTATTGAACCCGAAATAAATGAGTAAGGTGAAACGATAACTTCGCTTTATGACTCTACCTGTACTGAACCTGAGCTGCAATATAGGTGTTTTGCCTGCGCGGTTCCTACTTCTCTCAAAAACTTATTGTTGTGATCAGCTTCATCCAATCATACCCTATTGTCTCAGAGTTGCAGAACACACGGGTACCACGTCACTTGAATTTACCGAAAAAACAAATATTACGTACATCGTGTTGGTTGGCACTTGACGTGACTTCATTTTTAGGAGGTTTTCAAAACTTGAAATCTTGTTCGGAGGAAGTTTGAACTCTTTTTGCCTCTCTGCATTGTCTGTAGATTATAGCGTTCCAGTCTTGCAGAGGTCACTGTATAATTACGTGTTCACCCACAGTTAAAGGTGTTTCATTGTCACTCTAGGGCTTTGATCAAATTCTACCAATAGAGGACTTAGAACGCATGGTTCTTCAAGTACCACAAGACGTCAGGTAAGACTTGGCCAAAAACGTTAATCTTATCTCGTATTAGAGTAAATACCAAGGCATAGAGGATATAATTATTGCTACATGCAAGTACAATTTTTACAGTTTTTACAAAATATTATCGTAATTTTTTTATCATAAATCTGCTCGTTTAGACCACAGTTGCGTGAGAGACGTGAAAGATTGTGCCAACGTTGCTTTGACTTGGTGAATTTAACGCCATCAAAAGACTCTAATAAGAAGTAAGTCAATTTTATTGCCGCAAGTTTTTGTTAGCAAACCGTTGTAAACCTTGTGGAGCTGGAACCTAGTAGGTAACACTCGGCTAAATCGTTCATATGGTGACCTGGCGACAGTGATTCTGTGCTGCTTGGCATCTTTTCCACTGATGTTTTATTTTTTTCCCACTGCTCTTATCTGGCCTAGCACAACGATATATACTTGATCTGTTGGACGTCTACATGCCTAAGCGAAACCTCAGATTATCTTAGTAGTTCCAACTTATAATTTGGAAACTTATGGTAGACGGTCGTTTACGGTTTCTGCACCAACATTGTGGAACAGTCTACCTCTGAATATAAGACTATGCGACTCTATATAGACTCCTTTAAACGCGATCTGAAAACACACTTGTTTCGACGTGCATATGAAGACTATATATCAAGATAATTTTATGAATTTTAGGAAGATTTTATTGTGTTAATTTTAGAAATTTGTAAATTATTAAATTATTGTAGACCGTACTTTGTAAAGCGCATCTGGACATTTATGGAAAATGCGCTATATAAGAACTAGATATTTTAAAACACCAGTATGATTCTCGCTCGCTTCTCGGAATCATGCAATGTCATTATTATATTGTTTTTTCTTTTGCTTGTTAGATACGATGATGATACGTTAATACAAATGCTCTCAGTGAGAAAAGGAAGACGATTTCTCAGCAAAATACTCCGTCTTGTCAGAGAGGCAAGTGTCTGGTCAAACTCCGAAGTCACTTGACATGCTGCATTTGACGAACGTTATCGGCTTATATCTGATATTGTATGGCGATTGCTAGAGTATTGAAGAGATAGATTAGGTGGGGAAGTTGGAGTGTACACCCTCTAGCCTATAGGTGGGGGAGTGCAAATTAGGGTACCAGATGAAGAATGGCCAGGTCGAGAATTAAAAAGAAAAATCAGTACGCAGTTATTATTCAATTCTCTATAGAAGTGTTCCATGACATAAAACTAGATACTAAAACGCGACTGAGCTAAAAGCCAAGTTGACTTACCTGTCTTTGACTGGAGAATTTTAGCATTATTTTGAATTAGTTCCCTCGTTAACTCTGATGTAACTGTGTTTACTGTGTAATATTCCTTAGAACCAAAGAAATGAGATTGCTCTTGCGATCACAAGAAATCTACGGGTATTTGCGAAAAAAAATGTTCATCAAGAAGAAACAGACAGCTTATGTGATGGTGTTTCAGACGTGATCAGGTCGTCACCTGACAGAATCATCGAACATCATCACAATGTTGTTGGCAACGACAATTCCGTCATACATTTATTCTCTAGTAGGGTATGAAAGTTCATCTGTTTTAAGAATCAATCTAGCCAGTATAAATCATTTTAGTCACTGGAGACCTAAGAAAGAGCAGCTTATAACTGATAGGTTACCAAACTAAATAATTGTGTTCAGTCCAGCGCATGATGGTGTAAAATGCTGCGTATGATGTAGTAAGAGCGGGCGCGGGGCTAAGATCCTCTATATGGGAAATGTAAATCTGCATGTTCAAAACTATAGGCCCACATAGACCGGACGCGGTGCGGCAACGCGACGCAAATTTTCAGTTTTTAGAAGCACATAAATTAATTTCTGGAAGCAAAAATTGGAATCTATGGACGCCAGAGCAGTCAAAATGTATTATCGTTAAGAATACTATCGTTAAGAATACTATCGTTAAGAATCTACAAGAATATAATGATAGTTCAAAATTTATTTGCTTTTGAAAAATGAAAAACTTTGAAAAATCGCGCCGCGTTGCCAAATCGCGTCCGGTCTGTGTGAGCCTTAAAACTCTAAAGGACAAAGTGGGTCGTACGAGCAAAGTTGAATTTCCCAAAACGATAACATTTTGGCTGTTGCATTGACTTCTTAGTAGCAATAATTCTTTTCAACCCTTTGGAAAGAGCATTTTCTAACCTGATCTCTCTATTTTTATAGTTCACGTTAAGAATTCTTACCATTTTGTTAAAAACATTGTCTGAACTTTCAAAAAATATTGGCGAAAACAGTTTACAAATACAAACAGTGTGGTAAGTTATTCACTATGGGGTATTTGAAGAAAAACTGGATAGCGCTATCTACCGGATAGCGATATTTCAACCGTTTTAACATGCTTGAAAAGCAATCAATTAGAGTTTTGGAGCTAAAAGTTATGAGAGAGATACTGCAATTTAAGAATACTTTGGTTCAATCTGGGTTATGCCGAACAACGGGTATTTTTTTATTTAAAAAACCGGTGGATAGTGGTATCCGGCTTTCACACAACCGTTCCCAGACAAGATAGTTAGTATGCGAATTTCACTTCATCGGCGCTATTTCAAAGAGCAGTTGTACACATAGCTAGTAGGTAAAGTGTGAAAAGTTACTCCATCGAGCGACCATACCGTTTATTCACATGCATCTTGCCTGGCCTTGTTTTGTGTCGAATGCCCACTCGTGTTTCATGCTGGACCCAAAAAATGTGAAGAAACAAATTCGTTCATGAAAACGTGGAATATCATTTTTATCTGCCCTGTGAAATTTTATCTTAGAAACGAGGCCATTCGATGAAAGAGTATAATCGATAAGTTCTATTTGAGATATATTTACCTCTATTTTCCAAGTCCTGGGTGAAGTCAGTATTAAGAGACCCACCGATACAATCGCAAACCTTGGTCTTGAGCTATGTACGGACAGTATGGGGCAACATTTAGTTAACGAGTGGTATATATTTTATCTTTTTTTTCAAGGCTTTCGTTTCTTTCTGTTGTCTGTCAAGATTTTGTTTCGTCTTCTCCAAAAGTATTGATTAAGAATTACACCGATGTTCAAAATATTGTTGATATATTGTCGAATAATGTTGATGATGATAAATTGTTGGTGATTCGAGAACATTTCCGGTTAGTCAGAATTTTTTTTTTGCTGAATCTTTTTTTATCTCAATGATAAGTGATGTATTGTATTTTTTTAATATTTCATATTTTCAGGCTTCTTGAAAATGCTGATATTCGTTCACCCCAGAGATAACTACTGTTTGAGAAGTGAATTTAAATTTGGTAACTCGATATATTGTATATATTTATGTGAATACTTTTGTGCGTTATTTTGTGTGATGTTCGTCCCACGATGAATTACCATTTCGTTGATAGCAATGCAATCTTAGATAATTGTAATGTTCTGTGATCCCCACGGAACGCATGATTGTTCTAAGGTAGACCTTACAAAACACAAAAATGTTAGATTTTGAAAGGAATTTGGGTGTTAATTCAAACGGTGAACTCTAAGGGAACTGGAAAGATATAATTACTGCCATCTTTGAGGAAAGTGCCATCCACCTCTCTATTGTTCTCAGCTGTGCGGTTGCGATGGAGTGCATCAGAAATTCATTTTGAGTTCACTGAATCGCACCATTAATTGGGACAAAATCCAGCTAGTCGAACCACGAGTAAAAGGCCTGGAACTAGCGAAATGATGAAATCCCATTTTGCTTAAATCAATGAAGGGAATATCATTCTCTTAATGTCGTAACAGTCTTCAATGAAAGTTGTGGAAACTCTGTAATTATGCAGGAATGATCGGAGTTGTCTGCGGTTGTAAGTTTAAAAAGCAAAATATTGTTTTAAAAAGAAAAATTGATTTCTATTAGCAACTTGTTCCAGTTCTTTTCCGTGGTTTCAAGTCACATGGATTTTAAGCCTGGCTTTCATACAACATAATTTGTTGTAATTCGTTATTATTTGAAAACGGAATAACAACAAATTATATAACATATGAATTATGAAAAATTATGTTATCTGAGAACCAGCCTTTAATAATTTCGACGAACTTGAAACTCTCGTCGATTTTTAAAACGTGCTATTACATAACGTACTATTGCATACATGGCTAGTGCATAATTTATTACTATTTAAAAACTGACGGTGCTATTGATAAAATAATCTGAATATACTACACCACCTGACAATAATATAGAGATACAGTCAAAAACATTAGGGTGGTATTAAACAATTTATTCAAAATGTTTTTGTAACGGTTTTTGTGAGAAATTAAATAATGTTGCGTGAAAAGTACGCATACAAAGATACTTTGTAGTACTTTTGTGTTTTTATAAGTTGGAAAATAGTATCGCTAGTATGTCTGTGTTGTATAAATATTGGTCAAGGCACGCATTCTTTTTGGATCAACTATCAATGGTTTTTGTTACGTAGAAAAAAGTACCCCAGAAGTAGCAAATGCATGCAACGATTTGTTTATGATTCAAAAACCGACATTCGGATCCCACTGAAGTATGGCCAAACGCGCGCATAGAAATCTTTGAGCCTAGGACTAGCCTGGCTTCCTACAGTTTTCTGGGGACCCTGGGTAAATTGTCCCATCGCTCAGTCTAACCTGAGAGAGCCTACTAGGTCACAGTAGTTCCTTGAATTCCAAGGGCAAGGATCTTCAAAATGTCTGTGTGATGTCAGGTGATCTGGTTGTAAATGAATCTCGTACATACTGAAAATAATTACTACTATTGTCAAAAACTTCTAATGAACGCAGATGGTCTCGAGAGAGGAATCTAAAAAACCTTGGGTCATCCAAAATACCAGGAATTTTACGCAACTGCCCGAGAACATTTTCACGTATAATCAAAAAGTTGCACCGAAATCCGATTGAAATTATGATGAAGCGTTTTTAACAGCGACATCGTGCTTGATAATAATTGCCGCATTCATAGATTAAATATTAATGTTTTGATTGTCGGCGAGTGCTCTTTCTTGCAAATGATATCGACAGCGCTATTGGTACCTGAAAAATTAGCGTAATTACACGTCTAAGGAAAAGGCCCGGTTTATACTGTCAAAGTTCCTGTGTTCACAGTGAAAATTTGCATCGGTAAATCCGAAGTTTAAAATGTTCTGCAGCTAGTATCACGATGAAGTCACTAAGTGTTAACCAATTTTTTAGTTTGAATTTTTTTACCAAATACTTAGAAACTTAGGATTTGCCGTTTGAAATTAGGGGACAGTTGTATAAAAGATCTTTTAGCTGTAGTTTAAAAGGACAGAATTGGCCAATCAGAGTTGTGTATCTCTGAGTTAACTAGGATTTAACTATGCAAAATGTAAATTCTAGAGGTTTTTAAAGGGTCTTAATTTCGAGTGGAATCATACACAACTCAATTCAAGCCAGGAACAGTTGAGAAAAAATAGTCAACTATCGGTCCTGCGGCAGGTATCGAACCTACGCTTATGCGATGCCGATGCAGTGCTCTTGCCACTGAGCTACAGAGGTAGGCTGACTTGTTGTGTATGATTCCACTCGAAATTAAGACCCTTTAAAAACCTCTAGAAATTGACTACTTCGAGTGAAGTGCCACAAAATCGCAAATGATTTACCCTCATCTGTTCTCGGCATTACCATCACACTAACCCCGCTTGTTCTTGTCAGCTACATCTGTAGCTCAGTGGCAAGAGCACTGCTGCACAGGCAACATAAGTATAGGTTCGATTCCTGCCGGAGGACCGATAGTTGACTAATTTTTCTCAACTGTTCTTGGCTTAAATTGAGTTGTGTATGATTCCACTCGAAATTAAGACCCTTTAAAAACCTCTAGAATTTACCTACTTCGAGTGAAGTGCCACAAAATCGTAATTGCATGATTTACCCTATGCACAATGTAGCATCAAATGCGATATAACAACTCCCTGAAATAGACAAAACACTTCTCGACGTTTCGACCTGAGGGCCTTCGTCAGGAGAGTTAGTAAGACTGGCCCCAGAACTGTGACTACAGAAAGTTTGACAGTGTTAACCAGGCCTAAATGATGCAATTGTATCCCTCCCAATTTATTATGGCTTTGTGACAAAAATGAGCAAATGTGTTTTAGTATATCTGTACTTATAATCTGTATAAAAGAGTGAAAGCTTTCCTGAATATGTCTACAATCCGCCAAAACATTTCGATCGTGCTTTGTTTGATCACGCGGGAAGGCTTTTTTTAAAGCAATTAGGACAGACAGTGTTGAACGATTGTCTAATTGTCTAGTATTCACCAAAACAATTTATCACGCTTTGTTTGATCTCAAGAAAGATTTTTAAAAAAATCCACCTTTGAACAATTCGCAGAATTCAACATTCGATTATATATACATTACGCCTAAGCTGGGTAAATTTGTCTTTTCTGAAATTTTAAGTCACAGAACCAGCATAATACAAGTTCCAAGACCAAGGTATCTCTAAACTTAAACGTGGGTTTTTAGTTGTGATCTTCATTCTTCAAGACAGACGTAATATTTGTGTAATTAGACCTCATTATTAGGTGGCGTATTGCAGATGTTCCTCCTCGCAAATATTTAGGAAAGTAAGTGTCTGAAAAGTGTCTGAAAAGGATTATGAGATGTTATCTTTACTCCTAAGAAGAGGAATTAAAAAAATACTTCCATCAGTTCCATGTTTTTTATTGAATTGAATTTCATTGTTTTGCTTTAGAGAGTGTCATTTTTAAGAAACAAGTTTTGGATATTCCTTGAAAGTTGAATATCGACTTAAGGCCCGGAACCAGAATAATTCTTTCTTTTAGAATCTGGAATCGATAAGTTAACTCCAGGGAAGCCTCTTCCAGACGTATTTATATATAAGACGAATTTGATCAAGTCGAAAGCGACGATTGAAGATGATTGAGATAACAAACCTCGTTAAGCTTTATTATAATTTAAATTGCATTTGACGCGGCAAATTTTGGGACGTGAAAACTAGCATGGCATTCTATTGAGTTTACAAGGAAGAAGAAATAAAGTGAGGCTGGGTGCACACGAGCGTCGTTCATGGGCGTTTTGTCTCGTTCATCGTTTTAGCGCTCTGGCCACACGGTCCAGGGTGAAATATGCTTAATATGTTGAATTAACTTTAACTTCGATTGTAAATTAACGCTGCTTTGAACCATTTTGGAATGAAAAAGATTAAACGAAAATGCTCGCTCGTAAACTATGCCGTGTGCACATAGTCTGAATAAAATGGCTTTCTAGTTTCATGCATAAAGAGTTTTAATACCTCGTTTCCCGATAAGCTCGATTATATTAACAGCTTTTTACAGCCCGGACTGGCTACCCTCAAATTGCACGTCCCGCTGTCGAATTTGGGACTAAAGCTTATAGTCTCTTTATTATTTATACCTGGCTATACTATGACAAGTTACTGATGTACAAAGGTATAAATATATCTACAATCAGTGATGAGTGATTTGCATACACCACACAAAAGACTATGTAGATAACTTTAGACTACCTCTCATCAACCACATGTCGCGGTAGAGAAATGCAAGTAACAACCACCGGTCACCAAGTTTTGAGTACATAATTCTTATACAACTACAACCGGTTCCTGTTATCGAATGTTGAAAATAGAACAAAGGTTCCATGGCTCGCTAAACAAACAGGGATGACCTTGTATCATAGCTTCGATCATCATCTCTTATCAAAATCGGAAGAGATGTCGTGATTATATTTGTAATTTCAACTACTTCTTCGTGCTCTAATTTGGTACAAATTGCCACTTAAATAAAACGAATTCTTACAATTTGATGCTTAATTTGCTATTTCCGCTCTCTATTCATACGAGTTCTTTCGCGGTTTTAACGAGCACTGCACTTGCAATTATCGTTCATGCTTTCACGGCTCTTTGACATGTAAATGATGTGCCGTGCGATAATATATTCATGTTCATAAACAAAGTATTGTAAATAGAACTCTTTTGAATTATGAAGGTAGAGATCATATGGCTTTGAAATTCGAAATGTGGCATTTTTCGCAATGATGGTGGCTGAATGCACCGTTTGGAATGAGACGTTTAAACTACTCTAAGAAGATTACTGTCAACAGTTTAATCCCATGGGCAAAGACGAAGAGTATATTGCTAGCTGTCTCACTTTGCCTGCTGAATTTACATTTTATAGTCATTGGATATAATATGGCACTTGGATTTCTCTCTCGCATACATTGAACTGTCTTTACAAACTTGTCAAATCGGGTAACCTTAAAAATATAAAATGCCTGATGTTAAACCTGGGACTTCGACTGCCTGTGACAAGCAAAGAATTCCTAAAGTCATTCATCCTCTCGCTACGCCGGGATATGTAATAATTTTTAAATTCATCACTTCGTGTGTATTAAATATATTGGGCTTTGTGTTGATCTATACGTTTCTGTTTATCGCTCTACCGATTTCATTGCTCGCCAAAGTCGTTCAAAAAATTCTGGTTTTTGTCCGGATCAAATCCCAAGGGGCCAAAGCGGATTATGGCAATGCATCGGAGACGTTTTGGTTTTTAACTGCCAGTGAGGATCGAACGCCAAATTTAATTTTGCTCTTGGCAGTAAAAGGCCATTTCAGCTGCGAAGACCTGGGATATTTACTACAAAATCGTTTAAATTGTAACGGTGAAAACATATTGCAAGAGCGTTCGAATTTTGAGCGGTTGTCTAGATCGCCAAAACGCATTTTTCGCAAACTCGTGTGGCTGGAAGATAACCTTGAACGTAGAAAAGCCATAATTCAAGGGGATTTAGAAAGTGCGTGTTTATGTGACGCTGGAGGTAAAACGATGAACTTGCAAGCGTTCTCGAATAGCAACGATTGGCAAATATATCTTTACACAAGTGTAAATGAAAATACAACAGATAACAGTGCTATAGTGTTGCAATTTCGCCACTGCATCGCTGATCTGCACACGTTGGTCTACGCAGTGTCAAAATCATTTCTCGATCATCAAGTTTTTATGTTTCGGGAAGAAATCACTTCAACACAGGGCTTTTGTCTGGGGCTATTGGCACTGTTAGCAGGACCAAGTATTTTTGTGCGAAGTTTGTTCGAGTCAAAAGACATGACATTTCTGGAGCCCCCTCAAACGTGCAGGAAGAGAGCGATTTTCTATTCACAAGCGATTAGCAGGGCCGATGTCGACATTGTTACTACGGCAACTGGGACCTCAGGTATTAAAGGCTGACTAATCTCGATTTATTATTTATACCTAGAAATAAAAACCTGTCTAGACTGTATTTATAGATTGTGTATATAAAGAGCTATATTGTCGAACCGGTATTTTAGCCCACTTAAAAAGTTCAATCAGAAAACAGCGAACTGCAGTGATCGACCCCCATTGGCATTAATTGCATTTGGCATTGAGAAACGATTACTATATTAACTAACGAATCCCCCTAAAAAAACCCGGGAGATCAGATTGAAAGAAGAGAGGTTTTCGCACTGAGAACTTCCATGTATATGGCCTACATCCATATAATTATATATATTTTATTAAAAATTCCGCATCTCATCAAATATGATTCAGCAGCTGCCATTAACACCCGAAAAAACTGCTCGCCGTTTCTATTTTCTACGCAACACAGATACGATCCACAGGTATCAGTTACACATTAACGTACGTTAGAATTCCGTGAAAATATTCCTCATGTTTGGGCTTCAGCTAGTTTCAGCTTCGAAACATTTATTTTGTTAACCCATCAAACAATATATTTTACTAATCAGTTTCACTATGGTATTAAACTTATATGACTTGACTCACTACTTGACTATAGAGCATTCAGTCAAAAGATGTTTGCTTGTGTATATATCACTTCGAAGGGCTGTGGATTATTCGACCACGTAAAGGATATGGATTTTTCGACTTGATTAATATTTTATGAATTCTATAAGGTATATTGATCATTTTGATCTCACCAATTAGTTGTAGTTAAAAGAACCAAGGCCACAATATAATCTCGTTTAATTTTGTTGCATTCAATAGTCTCTCTGTATCCGATTTTAGGGATATTTTGGTTCACGAACATGTGAAACGGATTACTTTTAGTTTTACTGGTATTCACTATCGGTTTGGAATATACATTTATGAGAACCCCCTAACAGGTCTCATCCCAGTCAAACAGTGAAAATCGGTGTAATTTATTAAAAATGAAACTGATTGGTAAAATCACATTGTTTGATAGGAGTGCGAGACCGATTGTGTTTACCTAAAGAATAACAGAATATTTTTAAATTTATTTGTGGGTTAGGATTTTCTGATATGGTTTAATTATAGGGGATCTCGCGCGATTCGCGAACAGAAATGACAACGTGTTAACTCTTTTAGACCTTATATAAAGAGGTTTTCTAATAGATTTTCTGCTCTTATTATATAATTAACATACTCCATAATATGCTGCATGCCAGTTGTTGTCGACCATGCCATTGTCAAAGATGAAAATTGCTATTGAAATTACGGACAATGTGTATTTTTCAACATTGGCTATTATCGCAACCAGCGATGCATATGGTCATAGCAACTGTGGACGCACGTTGATTGACATTGTATCATCATTGAAACAGGTGACAGGGACTTACAGACTAAACCAAATTAACTAATGATAAGAATTTCTTCAATCCAATATCAGGTGTTCTACTTGACTAGATTTAGAACCATATTAATTGTTGAGTTATATCATGCAAGAGCCGGGAATTGCGCCCGAAGATGGCGGAAAACTTCAGATTCTTCTCAGACAGCTTTCACTTCAGATTCTCATTAATTGCAGCTAGGAAACATTTTCAACCAAAAAATAAATTATTAGCTTATTCGTGATAATATTATATGAAATTATTTATGCATAAAATTTCCAGTTTGATCGAAAGAAAAGTTATAGGAGGAATTTTGCCAAACTGACAGTGGATATTTCACTTTCGTAGATGGGCTAATTCTCACTGCATGGGCTAAATTCTGAACTACATGAGGTGTATTCGAAAGTTTATAGGTAGTGATGTTACGTTGAGATAGCACACATGTTGTTTTACAATGTATGATAATGAGAAGTTGCAATTGGTGAAACTCAGACTAAACAAACCAGTGATTCTGATAAAAAACAAATTAATCCATGCGCGGGGTTTTTTCGTTTCGGAATAACATGTTGACTGTTGTTCAGTTGAAATCATTGGCAGCCCGCAACCCGGTCAATTCGGGTACCGCCTACTATGTTGAAACAGGGTGGCTCAGAGTTGCCAGATTAAATTATTATATACAGTCATGCCTAAACCTTTCTACTAGTTTTACCCGCTTCAGGAAACTATTGGGGTAAAGCTGAAATGTTTAGAAGTTATTCGATACGTCGATATTTTCACCAGGTTTTTCACACAGTAACTGAAGCATCTTTTTTTCTTAGTTTGTGATGTCATCCTGTCGTGTCTTGCCGGGAGTCTTCGATGTTGCTTGAAACAACATGGCGTTGCATTTCCCGATGACGTCACGGTCTTTTATCCCATGAATTTGGAGAGCAGTAACTCACTTCGATGTTTTACATCGTTTAATATTTTTTCATTGCCAGTTGGAACAGAAGGTAGGATTTTATTATCTTGTACGATACTTCTTACACTGTTATGGCGGTAGGGGTTATAATTCAATGCTAACTCAGTAAATTCAAATAAACGAGTTTAGTTCTTCAGATAAGAATTTAGGTTTAGAGTTGAGAATGAGGTTGAATTCAGCAATAAATCAGACAACGGGATAGATTATAATACCTAAGAACTAACAACAATTATTTCCCAGAGTACTATTGCTAATTCAAAATGCATGTTTCGCATGGCTACTGGTTGCTGAATCCTTGAAAATGACAATCACTCACTCAAATCAATTTGCTACGAGTTTTTTGGATCAACCTATTATCAGGCAGTAATTAAACACTTAATTTAAAGGGGATTATATCGGCTTGTGTGCATCGGGCCTGCACGATTCAATTTGTTTAAAAATTTAAGCAAAGGCCAAAGGGCTTGTTAGTTTTAATACGAGTACCCGATAATTTTTTACCATAAGCATTGAGTTTGTAGGTAAATCTTCAGAAAGTTAAAAAATTGGGCCGACTCATTATGGTTAAAAAAAATTGGGCCGACTCATTATCCATACGTACATTTCAGGTGCCTTACCACGCCTTTGGGAAATGCGGTTACGTCGTAGCAATATCGCATCTTTTATCGAGGCTATTACGACCAGCACCATCATGCAACTGGCTTTCCTAATTCTCCCAGCTTCAGCTGCGACGTGGCTTATGGAATATTTAATGAGCAAAAGCTCGTGTACTATAAATAGCATATTAGGTCATACTTTTGATCAAGAAATATTACTCGACGGCCGCCCGGTTGAACATTTCATCCCTGTAGAGGACAGGGGGTATGGCCTCAGCATTACAATAATCGAGTCCAAAAACTCGTTTCAGTTAGCTGTGTTGGCGCCTAGTTCGGAAAACTATGTTATAAAGCCCGCGCGGCTTTGCGTGGAATTTGTGCGACACACGCGTGACCTTTCCAAGCGATTAACTGAACGCGCACGCGTCGTTCGTGCAAGGGGTCAGAGAATTTTGAACAGTCGACGCAACAGCGTTTTTATTGTCGAGGAAGATGAGCAGTAAATATGTATATAATTATGGTGAAATTAAAATTAAATTATACACACAGTAATACTGGATGTTAATTTTCATGGCACCGCCCGGATGCCTTTCACGAGGCCAGATATTCAACTGCGAACGGGGATAATTTTGCTGTAGCAAAGGCCCGGTGACCGGGGAGAGGGTTATGGGGGAATGTGACATCATCTGGAAGTTAGTCTATATCACATGTACCCCACGCCTCTGGTGATGAATATATATGGCCTAATAGGCCAACTGATTATGAAACCAAGTCAATTCAAGGCCGTACGTTAACGGATAACCTAAAATTTCTACTATAGCGGAAAAACGCAAAGACTCAAACGATTTTTTTTTGCTTCCTCAAAGCATCCAATGATTCGCCTCATGGAAATGAAAGAATTGTGCATCACTTTTAGACCAAAAGTTGATGTAAGAGTCAACCCTAAAGCCATCCTGAATTGAATTGCTTATCGCCTTAACAACTTCTTTCAACTAATCTTTTGATACAAAGAAAAAATTCCATCCAGGCGTTCTTTGACCAAGATTGCACGCTATTTCAGTACAAATTGCCTGATTAATTAATATTTCTGACTAGACTGTGTCTGGGGGTGACTGCCCTTGATTAGATTGCTTAGACTGCTGGATTAGATTTAATTCACTCTTCAGTGAAGTGTTATTGCTATAGTAATTCAACTTTCAATCTCGCCTAATTGTCCTGCCCCCCAATTTCTAAAGGTGTCGCAGACAAATGTAAACGGAAAGCGTAACGTATAAACGTAACTATGAAAGTGATTCAAGTTTAATTTGGTTAAAGTGAGTAGTTTTTTACGCCTCCCACCTCTAAAACAAATATATTTACGGATTTTACGCCACGGTCCGTGTCGGCAGTGCATTCCAAGAAGTAATCTGTGCCACAAAATCACTCTAGTTCCGATTGTTGCATAAAATTATGAAATTATAAAAAGAATTTAAAAAAGCGCATCACAACTGCGATAGAATTCTAAAAAATCTAGCATTCTAGAAAAAATGAGAACCTTTTATAGCAATAACCACTAGCTTAGGGCTATCGATTTTTGTGGAATTACGTGCGCGTTACGCAGCACTGACGTACTTTCTTTACCGTACGGTTACTCGCATTGAACTCTGGTATACCTCACCCATAATAATAGCCCCCAGCAGCGCTTTAGCGCTTGTCGAGAAAACACGAAAATATAGAAATCTTTCAAGAAGTCATATTTTTCCAGCTTTTCTGCTACAAACCTTGTAAGGGTTCGCTTCTCACGTTTTTTGAAGGCGTTTCTTTGAACCGAGCCACCTCTTGCGTGGAAGACGACGAAGTGAATCACGATGGAAGGCGAAATTACGAGGACGAACGAAGAATACACGCTCGCCGAACACGAAGTTGCTCAGCAAATCGATATCTCCGATTCTATTCCGAGCGAACACGAAGCCGTTGCAGAGGTTTACCAAAACACAACAGAAAGTAGCGAAGAAAGCCAACAAGCTGCGATACAAGTAGCTAATACACGTTTTACTTTTCCCGCTTCGACAAGTACTGTAACTCTTTCCACGAGTGCGGATGGCAGCCAACCACCAGCCGTTCTGCACGTCCAACAAATTCCCTCTAGTTTGGGGCCTATTCAAAGTGAAGCTTTGCGTGTTGCAGGCCTCGAAGCAGCAGCATCCCTGTCTCAAATCTCACAAGGTTTGTTTAATTCTTTTTAAAAGGAATAAATTGTAAAAATAAGGACGATATCCGCGAGCTAGGATGACGATTATGATTTCGTGAAAAATAAAAGCAATCGTCATGCTAAGGCCCCTTTGCGCTCAGGTGAATTTGACCGAGAACTCAATATCACAACCATTTACTTATCACTTCCTAAGACTTGTCGCTGCTTATAATGAAAGGTAGTCAGGTATCCTTGTGATATAAACGACTGATTTCTGACTGAAAATGTTGATGTTTAAAACTGTCTAGTAATATGGAGGTTTGAAAGTTTATAGCCATTTCTACTCTAAAGAAGACGGGCTCACTTTTCATGCAAATAAAGGCGCTGTCTTGCAAGGAGTTAAGCCAGTGTACCAGCAAAGCAAGTTTACATTAGTTCACATTTTTCACTATCACCCGGAATTGCAAACATGGAAAAAATAATGAAATGTTCTCATTTTTCCAGTTTGATCTTTTAAAAAATGCCAAGAGGTGAGGTTAGGTTATGTTGCATTTCACATTTTCAGTGATTTTTGTTGGTGTCATGAATTTTCATAAACAAGAATTTTGCTTGTACAGTAAGGGATAAAACCATTTTTTCTAAATTTTAACCATGAGAATCACGATGCTTAATTCTGACACCTGCATCATTATCAGACAACATCTTCGCCTAAGGTACTTAACTCTAGACTGTGTGCAATCCAACTTAACAATATTAACCTAGCATCAGAAAATTGGAAATTATGAGGTTGTTAAGTCTGATATTTTTTTCTTTTCATAACCATTATAACAAGGTATTCAAGTGAAACAATGCTCCGTTATCTGGCATGCTTTTAATTCTGGAAAAGGCCAGAGCCTATAAAAAAATCCAAGTTACAGTCGGAACTAACCAGAGTCTAGATATGAATTGAAGCACAAAAAAACTTTTATAGTCTAGTTTATACAATGGGTGTGATACATTGTTTGACTAAGGCTATCTTGGCAATTTAACCATTTTGTTGGGAAAATGTTTAGCTTTAACCCAGTTATGTAGCTTTTGGCTATTGTAGAAAGGGATATTTTTGAAAGGAACCCAGGTAGTTCAATTCGTTACCTAACTCCTAAAATGTGAAAATATTGCAATGCAATGTTGAATAACCTAAATTTGGTGCTTTTTAAACATTGAATGCTATATACTGAAGTATGCCAGTAGGGTTTTCTATCCTATGAAGATGAATTGTTGACCCCTTTCAACAAACATTTTGCTTAATGCTTTTGTCTGTTTCATGTAATAAAAGCTATAGCCTCAGAATTTCTTCTTTCCTAAAACTATATTCCAAAAATTAAACTAATGAAACAAGCTAGCATTTTAAAAGTGATGTGTTCCTAATTTAGGAATATTGCAAGCAGAGGAAGGGTATAAAACACCTGATGCAGGAGTCACAGTCAATGTCCCAGTAAGTCAAGCTGCTCAGGCTAGGGCAAAATGGCAAGAGGCAATGAACAGTGACATCTTGATTATCCGATGTCGTGAAGAAGTTGGTGAAATGCATAAAAATAAGCTTGGTTCTGGAGGAAGAGGAAAGTGTATCAAGGTATGGTATAAGGTCTTTTGTTTTAGAGAAAAATATTGTAAAGGAATTCACAATTTTTTGTGAATCTGACATATGTCTCAAACACATAGCTTCTTAAATTACAGTTGTACGTTTTTTAAATCAAAATAGTTACAATGTTGTTACATTACTCAAATTTCATAGGTAAATATTTTTTAAGCTCTCAGGAGTCAGAAATATCCTAGATAGTTACATGTAATAGTGGCAAGAGATTAGAAGATAAAATGCTGATTTTTAGTTCTGTTGCTAAGTATTACTACCTTCATGCAAACTCTGTGAACAGTTCAAATGATTTTTGTTTCCAGGAACTGCCTCTTGAGTAGACAGATGGATGACTGTGTAGCTATGAGACCAGGGTATAGCTGGTCATCATCATTTCTCATATTTTCATGATTGATTGGCACATTACAATTTGCCATCTTTATTGGTCTTTCCAGTGTAACTACTTCATTTTTCTTGCTGAATCTTGCATATATACCAATGCTTAGCTTGGAAAATATTGTTCATGATTGAAGGTTCTCCCCTATCGTTTATTCGAATAACTCCTTACTTATCCTTTCAAAAGCGATTCCTCTCGTGTTGCAGGAGATACGCACTCTTCCTTCTTCGGGTTTTCTCTCACTGAATATTTTCTTCATATATCTTTGTTACTACTCCATAAGATTTCTCATTCACCAGTCTTTCAAGGTTATTTTTCACCAAAAGGGATAACTTACCACGATCAGTCGTACCTTTGTTTATGATAGCGGTCTCTGTCTGACCCGCAGGGTGAATCTATTCCTCCAGCCCCAACTCTCCAAAGGTTGAGGGGGCAGAGATTCCGAAGATTGAAAGCGTAGGCTACGGAGGTTAGATGGCGCTATCTACCGAAAAGTGTTTTTCAGCTGTTGATATGCTCTTCTCAAAGAAAGTATCGGTTATGCCAACTGAGATAATATAATTAATTGACGTAAATTTTTGTTCGGTAAGGAGAGTCTAAAAGATTGAATACTTTACTTTGTGATTTCGATGGCAAGAACAATCGTTCTGCCTCCAGATGGTTATCATCTAACTTTTGCCGATTTTTAATTGGAGTCGCAATTTTTAATCCATTTAATGTAGCCGCGTCATGCTGCGTATGCTGGTAATTGCTTGTACGTTGTGCAACCATACGCATGAAACAGTATTCTTAGGGCCCGCGAGGCAATTGGGAGGGAGGGGTTGGGAGGGGGTCGCCAATGATTTTTCTGTATTAAGTAAATTTGCCGTTTTCTTCTGTTGTGACAACTGCAATTAATATTTGTGGGTTTTGCATTCCTGAGCTGTGACAGAGTTACATACTCTGCTCTTTTATCCAAAAATTGCCCCAATTGGTCTCTATCTTATCATGCAATAGAGTGTTAAACAGTGACAGGATATTTTCTTTGTAGCATAATGGCAATTGGTACACCCCGAGTGAATTTGAAGCACTCTGTGGCCGTGCCTCGTCAAAGGATTGGAAACGCAGTATTCGCTATGGTGGTCGAACCTTGCAGTGTTTAATTGAAGAGGGTATTATCATGCCTCATGCTCTCTCGTGTACTTGTTCCACGTGCTGTGATGATAACACACTAGCAGGTCCTGTCCGCCTCTTTGTTCCTTACAAGAGAAAGAAGCGAGAGTCGTCGGACAGCCCTTTGAGCAAGAAAAGACTTTCTCTTGGTAGGCTATGTGCATTTCGTTGTTAAGGTTTTGTCCATTATTAGATATGTATGTCCTGGTATGAAATGGTTGTTTTTTGTTCCTTGATGAAACTGGATTTTTGTTTTTGTAGGAATGCCAGCGAGATCTATGAGGTGAGCACTTGTTTATGAAAAGTGTTGGACATATACTTTTAAGTTACACTATAGCTTAGAAGTTAGACGATCATTTCAGGATATATGATATATCCCATAACTTTATGTCCAAATAAACTGGAATTAATTTACGGGTAGATAACCTTGGTCTCTTGTGGTTCGATCTGCCACCCAATGGGCTATCACTAAGCCAATAGACCGCCACTACCTTCGGAAGCAATTGCAAACATGTTTGCTAGTTTTATTTAGGCAAATCTTTTGGGTTATGTTATAAAACACCTAATACATAAATATTCACCTACACGTTTCATAGATATTGTCGCAGTTACCAACGACAACTGACCCTAGTTTGAAATGAACAACTAGATTTTAAATTTTTACTCTGTACCAAACACAGTACCTACTGCATTACATGTCAGTATAGGTTTTCCCTGAAAATTGTTTTTCATTGTGGAGTATTAGATGATTTCAGACTTATATTTCCTGTCCCTCCAAACAGTCCATAGACGCTTTGCGGTTCGTGACTAGCCCCGGTACCCTGCTCGATTGGGAAATGACTAATTGTAATTATACGAGTAACGTTTCAGATGCATTTAATCTCGTCTAAAATAATTCTGCATGACCAGTGTAATTCTGTACTGTACTGTAGCTACTGTATTGTACTGTACTGTACTCTTCATTTCTGCCTGGATCTAAAGGTTAATTGTTTATTCTTGTCGTTAATTTTAGTGTTGATTCAGCATGTTCCACACCAGGACCTCTCACAGGAGATGATACTGTCACAGTAGACGGAGGTGAGATATATTCACTGTTGAAGTAGCTAAGGACTTTGGAAGACATACTGTACTCACATCTGTATATAGACATATATAATTTTTTAATGTTATATGCCACAATTGCGCATGCGAAAAAGTGTTCTGCAAACACTGTATAGCCACGTCAAAATCTATAGCGACTGCCAACAGCAGATTGATCAAGAAGTTTAGAGTAGGATATTTCATTGTGGATAAACTGTATACACTCATGAATGTATTTCTTTAGCAGATCTCAGTACTTTGTCCGCTATCTCAACTGGTTCTGTGTCTGTTGTCCCCGTTGGATTTCAAACGACAACAGCACAAAGTATGTCTTCTTCAGATCTTCAAAAACAATGGTGGCATCTTGAAGAGGTATGTTATATACGTGCATAAAATATATCAAAAGAGAAAACGCTTTCATATTGATAATTATTATAAATTATTATAAATTATAAATAAGGTAAGCTATTATAAATTGCTATCTTATAATGTATTGTAGACGGTGAACAATGTAATCACAACAGCCCAGCAGTTAAGAAACATGTTAACTCATGTAAAAATGCAAGTGGAAAGTGTACGAGATAATGCTGTCGCACAGGCCAAACTACATGCAGAAGCTGAGAAGAAAGAGGTTAGAAAGAGAGTTTCGTATTTTATATTTTAGAAATAGTTTTTCACCTGGTTACATTGCATGTCTGATAATTTGTCTGGCAGATTCGACATTTCTCCCGACTATAAAGTGAAATCGTTTCAATTTTCATCGACTTGTGCTGGGAAAACAACTTTTTTGGTTCGCCGATGTGAATTATTTAGAGGCGTGTTTTACCGTCTTTGTACAGGTGTTAGCACAAACACGTATGAACTCACTGATGCAACTATCACGAGCGTTGATGGAAGCCAAACAAGAAAAAGAAAATGCTGTAGCTCAAGCTCTGATTGAAGCTAAGACTGAACGTCTGGAGACTGCCGCTGATGCCAAACAACAAGAATTACTTAAGGTTTGTGACCAACTAAATTGTAGTACATGCACCTACAGTAGAAGGGGCGTAGCATTCTCCACCGTCGGGGATAACTTATTAATTCCTATTTGGAGGATTTTCCTCTATATAATTATTGCTCGTATTAATATGAGGTGGTTATGGAGGGGGGGGTTCACTAATCAAAAGGCGAGAGGAAAAATATGCGCTATTAATCGAAATGCCTCTATCAAGACAACGGACGAAATATAGCTATGGATCTTGCGAGGTTTTTTTTTGCTATTCTAAATTGGGATGTCAGTAATGAGTGATAATCTCAGGTGCGGTTAACTTTAGCGTGCCATTCTGTTGTTATACGATCTGATATGTCTCTTTTCAATCGTGGTTGAGTGTTAACGGTTCGTGGTTTCGTTCTTCCTACCGCTAGCTTTCACTATTTTGCATATTCTTTAAACTGTTTTTGCTGTTCCGCGTCGTATCTGAACCAAACGGTCCGTCATCCTAACACACGAGTACCTTCTGAACACCTGAGCAGTAATACCGTTTTCCCGAGCAAATTTTCCACCTTGATGGTTCTGGTCAAACTGCTTTCTGCTGCTATATTATTTCAGAAAGATTTCATTTCTAAATTCTCTCTTAAAAACGAGATATTGCTGTCCCTCCTCTTATTCTGATTCTATGCACGCTCCACTTGCAATTGTATCTACGATCCACGCTATGTTTTCAATTTTGGATCTTACTTGCTTAATGCTGAACATTTACGTTTATTTAAATAAAGATTACGATTCCCTCCTGTTCTTTCATCGTGAATATAAAATGTGATTAACCGTTAGCTATCCTTCGTGATTATATTTCATGAAATCAGCGAATGTTACTAGTCGCATTTTCGTAGATTATACTGGAAACGAACATACTTGGAAGCGGAGAACTTAATAAGCAGGAATTGTAAAGAATCGTACCTTTGTATTTTAAAATCACACTCAACGAATGTGACGTGTAAATTGTGTTTTTTCTGATGAAAAAGAGAGCCTTCCTAATGTGTGGTGAAATTTGCAAGATTTGTGGTTTAACTTTCAAAATCAGTCTCTCCTACGCGCGCGATATCTCCCACTCTAGTTTTAGAATCCACAGGTTAAAGTCCCAATTCCTTTAGGAAATTCACGTTATTCAAGTGGAACAGAACAACGGCATTGAAGAAGAAGAAGAGGAAGTGGTAGTTGCTCCACAACAGCAGTGACGTCATTCTTGCCGTTACCATGGCATCCATAGCTTGTGATCAGTTTTATAATTGTTGAAATCCTAACTGTACTAGATCATGTTCAACCTCACTTAGTTTGAAACTTATTTATAGACAATAGCTTAGCTAATGTTTCCGCAAACGATTTTAAACGGTTGGTCGACTGTGAATACGCAATTCTCACAGTCTTGGTTTTCATGTTAACTAATGTTTTGCTGGATTTTGCAACCGTCACTTGGTTTCGTGTTAACATGGATTTTAAAATATCCATTGTTTTTAAAATTCATGCTGTTTTGAAATGACGCATTGGTTGACTTTTGTAATATCATTGCATTACGCCACTGATATTTTGTAAATAGATTATATTTACTTTACGCATGCGTGTAATTTGTACCTTATTAATTTTTTATCATCTCTAACTTATAATAATCCGACATTGTAATATCACTTCAGCTGAAAGAGAGAAAATTAGAATAAAAGTCGATTTCTGATTTTGACAAGAATGACCACCGCGCAAGAAGGAATTGAATTTCACATTAATAAAGGCGATTCTCCATTACCGTCCGCTTTACCCGCGCGGGCGAAGCGTCCTTTGAAAATCGGTCCATGGGACCATGACGGGTCTGAAAAACAAAGCGCGCTTCGCCCGCGCGGGCGGAGCGGATGTAATGGAGAATCGCCTTAACGCACAATCGCGCATTACATTATTGCACACAAGTTAGCGTCGCAACGCCTAAAAATGTCGCCCTAATATTCAAATGAATATAAATAAGTTGATGAGATGCTACATTTTACTTCTCTTTAATGTTCTAACTAATAACCCCATAAAAATTATCGAAAATAGCGTTCCAGTTGTATTCATTTATGTAGAATACAATCGATCGAAATAATTAGAAACAACATACGTATTGCCGATATGGAAGAGGAAAACGATAGATCCTATCTAAAAACAAACTTCAAATGGTTTTTAATTGAGTGATTCTACCGGTTATTCCTTACTTTGTGTGGCATGTTTCAGGCATCTGGCGAAACTTATCTGCTTGAATTTATTTAGTCACTTCTATTCTTCCTATATTATTTTTTATAATTTTACGTTTTGTTCTAAGAAAATTTTTTTGTTTTGAGAGTAAATACGATCGAATTACGTCACTCTTTTTCTGAAGTCCCCAAATATTTTTTCGTATCAGTGGTGATACAACGGATATGGGATGTTTTCCTTTTCCGCTAGTTTTCGCCACTTCTCTTTGTGTCGAAGCCACAAATTGTGCCTTGTTTCTTGGGAATAAATATGGTCCTATACCATCACCAGTCTTCTGTTCCCCAATAATGCTCCTCAGCTGTGGTGATTCCAATTTAATCTCATGTTCTTTCCCTCCGTCCTTTATCAGTGTGCTTAGTTCCAGTTTTGAAATTCCTGGCAGATGAATACGGGCGATTGGAATATTTGGGAGCTGCGTTGTCGGCTTTTGTATTACATCTGTCACCTTTCTTGGATTCGTAACTGGGATTTGTTGATCTGATCCTATCCCAGGTTTCGTAAATGATACTTGTCGGGCTGGTTTTATAGTAGCCGTAGGCTTGGTGATCGTGATTTGCTGAACTGGTCTTATCGCAGGTTTCGTAACTGTGATTTTTTGATAAGGGATTGTTACAGGTATTGTTATTGGAATTCGTTGATTTGGGATTACAGCAGGTCTTGTATCTGATATTTGTATTGTATGACCACTGATGGTACCTGGTATGGAAAAATAGTATGGTCGTATTTGCTGGGTACAGGGTACATTTACGTATATGGTTACATCTGGTTACATATGAAACCTTCTGGTCGTTATTAAAAATGCATTATTACATTTAAATTATACTAACTCTCCTGACCAAGGCCCTCAGGTCGAAACGTCGAGAAGTGTTTTTTGTCAATTTGAAGCAGTTGTTATACGACACTTGATGCTACATTTAAATTAGGCTTAGAGAAAGTTTATATTCTCTCATAGCCCATGAGGATATGCAGTGAAATTCACTAGCTGCAGTTGAAACAGAAAGTATACGCGATGGTAATAGTAATATCTGTAATAAAGTGACGCTGGTATAGTAATACTTTTTATAAGCTATGTTTGGTGGGATGATTTTGAGGATATCCATAATGATGGTATACGAGATGTCGGAGATTATGGTAATGAATGAAATCAGAATGATAGTATTCATGGTTGCTGTTATGGTGTAAATTGTACCTTGAGGTATTTCAGAAACAATCCTCTCTTCAACTGACTGCACCCCTTGGCTGTGCCTTATTATGGTACCCCCCACTCTGCTAGCGGTCTGCGTTGTGCCAACACTGCTTGGTACTACATAACAGCATTGCACCGGTGCATAATTCGTGGTCACTGCACTGGTTACTGATGAAACACGATCTTCTGGTGATATACTCGGAGCATCTGGTATGCTAGTCCTAGGAACACACCTAAAGGGACAGAAGACATTGGAATCGAGGTTCATATCAAAAAGGGTTTAGGAAATCTATTCACCTGAAGCTAGGATATTTGCAAAGTTGAGAATTTTAGAAATTTCATTAATAACATATAGCCTCTTGAAAGAAACCTGGTTTTGTCAGAACCCATCCATAAAGTATATAATAAAACTTCTTGCTCTTTACATTATTGAGATTTATGTTATTGTAATAGCCGAGAAATTCGTCTGAATTATATGTTGCTTCGAACATCGTCGCCTTTTAAGAGGAATTGTATCCTTGTAAGGGATGAATAGGTTAAATGATTTTGTCCTATGCTGAGAATGTTCATGAAACAAATAGTCATGGAACAAATTAGTCTGAATACCACCGTTCTTATACATAACTTTTTTTTTCTGATGTCATGGAAGTCCATGTCTTTAATGTTCTAGCGTGAGGCCTGGTTGAGTTTGTAGGATGACGATTCATGGTAAATTATAGGTAAATATACTGGTTCCTGAGATGAAATATGAACTACAGGATTTACGTACTGTTTTTACTTACCTATATTTAACGTACAAATATTTATAAACATTCGGGCATATAATGGTCCCTTGGTGCGCCAAGAAATCGTTAGTCGCGGAAATCTCGCATTTCTCTTCCCCTTGGCACAGATCCGTGACGACATTTTTGACGGTTGCGTTTTGATCGGCGCATATTTTGTCGCTGGGCAGCTCCGGATGTTTACAGGTTTTCGCGTCTTCACGTCCGTAGAAAGTAGCATGGACCTGAATCCGATTGTAGATACTGGGACATTCAATGAAGAGTTTTTGACCCTCGCAAGCGATGACCGTTTTCTGTGAAAAGATGTGATGTGTTGCTGTGAACTATGTTAATCATTGAATTTCGAACCACCTTAAATGACATAGATTTCAAGTTTTACTCTCACAAGTTATGTGCAAAGATGCAAAACATCTTTCTTCAACACATGCATCAAAAATAAATTTTCATTTTGACAAACAAGTGTGGAAATACGACACAACGCAAGAACGAGGCTCGCGGACTTGGTCCCTGAGCCTCGTTCTCGTGTTATGGCTTATTTCTACATTTATTGGTCAAAAATCTTTTTCATGCATGTGTTGAAGAAGGTGTTGCATCTTTGTACGTAATCGTGAGAGTGAAACTTGAAATCCATTTCATTTAAGGTGGTTTTGACAAGGCATTTTGACCAACCTTTAACACTGCAAATTTTGGGCTTGGGGGTTGTTACACCCCCCCCCTGGCCGTTTATCCCCCCATCATGACCCTTTCAGTCATTTTAAGATCCAGTACTCACGTATATCAAGTCCTTCACAGGAATCGCCCCAACTAGACCAATTCTATCCACTATCACAACTGATGTGTCTAGAACGAAAAAATGTAAGCTTGGTGAATTTCATTGCAATTTCATTAGGAACTCAATACTATCACTAGTCAGAAACTCGTCCCCAGTGCACGTAACTCTCTTACCATTCGTGTTGTTCAGCGCAAGACTTAAGTAGCGCACGAAGCATATATAGAATATCGGTAACACTACAGTCAAAAATCTTGTGCTCATAATTCAGCTGAATTCATCTACCTGGAAATCAGAGAGAATGTTTTTGTTTTTTATTCATCATTAGTAAGACATCACGTCAAGCCGTGTCACCTCGCGTTAGTAACCGTGAAGATATCCCTATAGGCGCAGAGACGCTTATTTGAAATTATTTTGTGGGGGAAGGGGTTAAATATTTCAGGTCCGACTCTTTACGATTTTAAATTTGCGAAATGACACGTAAGTCTATAGAAAAATTTCCGGCATTTCCTCCAGTTTACGAGACCTTATTTTGATAAGAAAATTTACAACATTTTACGTTTGTATATTTCTGAGCATGAAGTTGAACTGATTATGCAGCGATCTGCCTAATGAATACGGAAAACTAGAATTCAACATTACATTGTTACAGAATACATTTGAATGGGAATTTAGAATAAAAATTTCTCTTCTTTTCTATTCTGCTGTCTATCCTTGTTACTACTTTAGTTTGCCGGTGTGAACACGAAGCAGATGTCTTCACGCCTGTGACTCCAAAGGCTGAAATAAACAGGTACCCAATTGAAAATAAAAATATATGTAAAGCAGTAATACAAACCAGCTTTCATCCTCTCAATGAACGGTCCAAAAGAAATTAACTTCGTGTTGCTTGTGAATGTAATACCGACCGCCATTTCTGTTTCATAAATAGTTCAATTTAATATATAGGCATGACGCGATTTGGCGGTGTACAAATTTCATAACACGCATCGATAAGCATGCACGATTGCAATAAACAGGCAGGTTCGTGAGTAAACCATGTAGTGTTTTACAAACTGATTGATTTAGATACAAACATAAACGGATCAATAAAACGCGGATATGTCATGAGAATAAGGTAGACAAACCCAAAGGTGCTTCGTAGATTCTTGATTGTTCATCTTACATTTCTTGAACACCCCACATTAAGGACAAAAAACGTTTTTCTATAATGAAATTTACTATGAAATACCTTAATTGTGATATTTAAAGGTCTTCCTAAAGTATAAATGTGAAATACCATAACACTACTAATTAAAACACTCCGGACGAGAAAACCTTGTGGTTGCTCAGACAAAGAAAAACTATACGTTGCTGACGAAAATCAAGACTCCTCTTTTTAACAACACAATTTTCACGACCCCGGTACATTTCAATCAATGCAACATAACTTTAATACTATATCTATCACTTTCTCATCCACCACCCTTTTTCCATATTTACTGATTGAGAGACGGTCCCTAAAACCTGTTTTCATGAAAAAAACTCTTTCCATATATTACTGGTTCTATATATACATAGACCAACAACTGAGATCAACCATATCATTCAAATTGTATTTTATCGCCCCATCTTTGTCATGAAATTAATTTTTCCCTGACGACTGACGAGAAATTGTTTTCGGGTTCTGGCAGGAAATTTACCTGGTATACATGTGAAAAACGTAGCTTTATTCCACTAAGTCGGTTGAAAATTGTGCTTTTAAACGCCCTGGAGAACGTTTACTCTAGCTTTCTCCTCTGAGATGACCGAAGACGATGGCTTCAATAATAATTAGCATGAAAAGCGGAGAAGATTCTCCTAAACAATTTCTGGGAAAGTTTCCGCATTTCATTTCGACAAGCTTCGGTTAGGCTAAATTGTTAATGGGTAAAGAACGTCAACCTTTTTCATCGTCGACCTTGTCATCGTCCTTTCCACATATTTTTTTACTTCGATTGGACAGTTCATCACAAAAACAAGCATATACAATCGTAAATTTAATGTTATTTTTTGTCCAGTTATTCTGATATTCTTGATGTAGCTAATTATTATTAACATACGGAAAGCGTAATTTAAAAATTAAAAGTTAAAGCTCAGCAAATAAGCCGAGTATAGTTTCTATTTCATTGTAATCCTTGTGTGGTGATTACTTTCATTATTTTATTAAAGTTTAAAACCAGAGTAGCGATAATTACGATGGTTCATTGTAATTGTTCCGAGAATGTCATTTCACCGATCTAAAATAGTCCGGATGTGTATTTATTTTTATTTTTAAATCGGACTTGGTTGCATGGCATCACTGCAGCAATGTAGCAATATACTTTTCATCGGTGGCTTTGAAATGAACATGAGAATTACGCTTCATATTTAAAATCACAGTCTACTTAAGAATTATACGGCCACGAGCTCGAGTCGAATGTGAGCTGATAACCTGGCCATCAGCCATATACGACGAGAGCGAGTGGTATAATTGTTTTATAATATAGCCAAATACCATTTGTTGAGCCATTCTCTTGAATACCATTTAGTTGAATTCTGTCAATTTCTTCTTTATTTACCTCAGGAAAACGGTCAGCCATTTTGCTTTTTCTTTGGTTTTGCTACCCACCGTATATCAGCTCATAAATTATACGGTGGGTAACAAAACCAATCAGATTGCGGAATAGCTCGTATGCAGTGAGTAGCTATATTATATTGTTTATAATTATATAATTATATAATGTATTATAATTATATAATGTATTATGATGTATATACTCAGTTATATTCCTAGGATCCAGACACTCCAGAAGCCAGTGATGTATTGCATGCAGAATATCTACTTGAGGTTTCCAGTTTGGTCAAGAACAACCACTACAATTATTGTCAATATGATAACAACGACCGCAAGAAGTATGAGACACATTTTAGTGTTTTGCCACCGCATTTTTCGACGAATTTGTACCGCGCTTGCTCTGAATGCTGTGGCCTGTAGACAAAAAAGACAATCACTTGACATTAATAAAACATTAATTAAAAGCGGCTTACAGCAGTAGTTATATAGTCAGCAGAGTGCACGTCTTGCTTATTATTACATCACTCTCTATTACCTTCGATAAGTGCTTGTTCAACTACTGTGTAATCGAGGAAACTTTTATAAATTTACGGTTATTCGAAGCTCCTGGCGACTCTTATTTATCAAGTGAATGTTCATTTTCTGATATTTGTATTCATATTCTTTATTTATAGAAAAGCATATTTAGCATATAACACTAATAAAAACAACATAGCTATATGTCCTTTACTCTGCAGACCAATTTGTACAAACCGGCAACCATGTTCCATGAGCTGCCAGTTTCAGAAAATGTGGTTTACATGTGTAAAGTCACCATTTATTCTCTTCATATATAGCACAGATTATAAATTATAGTAATTAGTAATTACTAATTAGCATATACATGCAATGTGTAATAATTTAAACAATGATTCTTAATTTGCAATTAACAACCCACTTTCCACCTTGTTCAATATGCGCGCGTTTAGCTAACCTATTTTTATAATGTTTATAATAGTACCTACTAAATCCTAATTTGAAAAAAATCATCCAAATTTTTCATCTAATACTGGTGAGGACATTTCATAGCTATCACCAGTGACGTATGCTCATTTTTCGCTAAATCTCACAAAGGAAAACATTCAGCAGTGCTGTAGGACTAAACACAACTCATATTAAGTCCTTCAATATAAAATATTAGTTGGCTGAGTGCGCCTGCGCTAATCAAAGCAGCTCCACAAGAGTGACAAGACCCGCAATGAAAGTATTTCTATAGCTAGCTAGAAATTTGAGCCTATAGCTATATATAGCTAAGATGAACATAGGAACATAAAAAGATTTATTAAGGATGTCATTTTGATTCCATTTAATTGAAAAATAGCCTTTAATAGTTTTCTTAATAGATTATTATTTTCCTGAAGTAGAAGGAGGGCTCAGCGCCCCCATGTCCCCCCCTTCTTCTACAGCAGTGAAAAAACCCGGCAGATGCTACTAGTTGCTACTAAGGAAAACATTGTGCTATACTCTCAGAGTTACCATGCATGCAAGTTGTGGTTAACTACTTGGCAAGCTAATTTTTACCTTGTCCTGGTTGTCTCACAATATATTAATTCACCCGAGTCATATATGATTGTTGGATTTGGGGAAAAATGGTGAAATATTACTTACATTGTAGTCGAGTTCCTCTGCTTCATCCCGCAAAATGGGAATTCTTTCATCTGTACCTCGTTCAAGGATTTGTTCTGGAATTAATATAAAGAAATCAAACACGTCTTAATCATATTATAGCAATAATTGATATATAGTTGGTGATACCATATTCTAAATAAACTTTCTTCTGAACTAGCCGGTGTTGTAGGTTCTCTAGAAACATATTCAACTATTCCACGCGTATTGCATCGGCGTCTGCTGCACTCTCCTTTTTTAGGCTGCTGCGGTATATCGAAATGTGGGTAAATATATTTTTTTAAAGTATCGGTTTATCGCGGTACTGATTCTTTCAGTTTATTAATATTTTCATATACTGAAAATGTTATACAAAAATCGATATCTTTAGTATAATAGTGAAATAATAATATATATTAGCAAAATTATAAATAAAACAAACAAACTCACAGTCAAACTCACAATAATCTAGTCGATAATCATAGTTTTTGTAGTACGTATATAACATCATCCTACCAATATTTTCAATCATAACCCTTTTGGCGTCTTCTAGATCATTTTGAACTGTTGTCAAGTAATCCTGGCTACTTTTGGAATTGAACAATTCCTGCAAAAAAATTTTTCCTGCTTCATGAGCTGTCTTTCCTGCATGCTTCATAAACTGCAAGAGCGAAACATATGCACTCTAGCAAGCAGAGCAGAGTGTACTGTCAATGGTATCGTAGGGGATAATAAGATATTCGATAGCACAATTACAGTTCAAACATTTGATAGAAAGTGCAAATTATGATCATGCAAGGTTTTGCACTACTTCTTTCTCTATATATAATAAAAAATATTAACTGATGAATATATTATATATACACTACACGCATACATTGTTCACGTTTCAAACAGTAAACGAAACCTTCGACACCTTAAACATCAGATAAAAAGTATGCAAAACCTTATCGAATTGAAGGCAAAAAAAATGTCTTTCTATATAGCTATCGTGACATGAAAAAAGCCATATAGGCATATAGCATCATGGCATGTAAGTTAATGTAGAGATTTCGCTCTTTCAGACACCCTGTATATAGTCTGTACAAAGACAATGGGTAAGCCTAGATAGGTCAAAGTGTTTGATTTAGCTCAAGCTGGCTTCTGTTAACCCACAGACTACGTTTTTTGGGTATATATAATATAGCTATACTACATTTCAAAATCGTGAGCGTGCATGCGTAAGACATCGTAACGGCGATTGCTTTTATTTTAGGAGTTTAGGCTAAATGTAAGTATAAATGAATAGTCTGTTGAATCTTAAAAACTGCTTTTCATACTGTTAAAACCTCACCATTCGTGAAGATAACACTGATCGCGTCAATCTCTCAGCATGGTAAAGAAGCTTGATCTGAAATTATAAAACACTGATAACAACAAAAACTGCGTTTTAGGTTTATGATTTTGAGATGAGATGAAAAACTTGACTACTTAAGCTAAAATCGTGTAAATACGACCGAAAACCGTTAAATTATAGCCGTTATTCCTGACTTGAGGTGGCTCGCTAGAGTTCGTAAAAATTCATAGATAGCAGGTTTTTTTGTACCGAATTACAGGCACCAATATTGTGAACTAAATGTCAATATAACTTTTGATTGTATTTTACAGTACGTAAGGGATGAGAAACTGTTGACGGATTAACTATGAAAGCCTTTGCTATGGAAACAATGAGCCGCGGGTTTCAACCAGTGAACTGGAACGCTCACTCTCTGACTTTCCCTCATTAATGAATGAAACCAAGATGGCGGATCACGAAGCCTTTCTTGTAGGTATGATCCAAATACAAGGGAGAGACGTAGAAGCAAGCAGAAAGACCAACATATGCTTGTGGAGAATTTTAGGTCATCAGCTAAGGTCAAATGTACATTCTCACTGGTCCTTTAACGTTAATTTATGCAATTTTGAATTTCTGCACACATAGATGTACGGAAAAAATGATATCTCCTAAAATAATGGACCAATTGGATATATTTTCATCAATTTTGAACAATTATCACCTAAAATGGCTTTGTAATCAATAGCTTTAATATAACTGCTGGGGCTAATTATCTTAGTGGCGACAGCTATTCTAAAAACTGTGTCATTCCTCGTCAATTTGCCTGAAGAAATGTTTCATGCAAAAAAAAATTATTAAAAATCTCTTTAAAAAAACATGGTGAAACTATGAAATATTTGAAATGTAATGGCAGATTTAACTATTTCTAACTTTGATTTAAGTATGTTTGCCAATTGTGTCTTTCAAAGTGGCTGTGCAGACCATAGGCATCCCAAGAATACGTTTTGTATTTTTTATATTCCACGTTGGCATTGCTATGACGTAATGCATAATTAATTGTCAATATACTATTTATATTTTCCTAAAATAGCAATACGAACGCAGAATATAAAAAATACAAATCGTATTCCTGGGATGCCTATGTGCAGACGTCTAGAAGTTTATCGTTTGACCCACCGGATATTTGGCATCTATTGCAAAACAATGGATTTTCCAGGTAAAGTAAAGAAACTCATCTCCAATTATTATACTCTTTCTGTATTTCTATACACTTCGACTGATTTGCCATCAGTATAGCGAAGAAAATCCTACCGCATGTAATCCATACATTATATCACAGAATAACAACATACAGTTACCTCATCTAAGAACACGTAGGGAACTAGTTTGTCTTCAACTTCATCTGTCATACATATATACACCAAGCTGTCTTCAGTCATGACATGAAAATGGTAGCTAAACATGTTGAGATTACTTTTTTGGCGGTATTTTTAGACTTTAGTATATATAAATAGATACTGAGGTCAAGGCAAGAGGCAGTTTCCTAGAATTTAAGAGCAATTCGCGTTCAGAAGTGAACATGATAGAACATTTGAGACAATAACTGAATAAGGCTTGGAGGCGTTACTAATAACTATTGAATGGCATGAATGCCTGTGTATTTAGACGGTTTATTCATTATACAGCGAGGTTTTAGTCACACAGTGTGCAGCTACATTTTTGATAACCAAGATCGATTCACGCGTCTATTGTACAAATATAGCCTAGCGCGCATCAGAGCTCTGGACGCGCGTCACATGCAACATTACATAAACAGCGGTATAATTTGACTAATGATTGTGTTTCGTGTCAAGTCGTGGGTCAAAATTTTTTTGTTATTGTTGTTACCTAATAGAGAACTCTTTCCCGCTAAACTTTTAGTTCTTTTATTTCAAATTAGATTTAGTTAATTACTAGCCTAATTTGTAATTCTTTATACTAGCTGAATTCCCAAATTAGCTGATTGTGAATACCCGCCTCTCATTCGACCAAGTACAATAAGCACCCTAACAAGGGCAGATTTCGTTCTAAGCCAATCAACGCGTTTGTTGACATTTTTGCTCTCCGCCAATCAGAATGCTTGAAAATAAAAATTGTAAACAAAAGGAGCGAGAAAATATTGCCGTATTCTAAGGCATCCGTGAGCCAGAATATTTACTTTTTATATTCGAAACCGAAAGAATGCAATAAAACATAAATATATCTTGAATTTTGCCGTGGGGTTTTTTAAATTTCAAAACATAACGTGAAATATCGACGTTTGAATTACTGCAATGATGGCGCTCTATGGCTGCAATATATCGTTAATATATCGATAAATTATTTGGGGAATAATGTCGGTTTCCTCTCAGGATTCTCCTTTCCGTCTCATGTTTTCATTTCAGTTCTGGATAATGCTACTTGGAATGAGTTGGATCTTTGGGACAATGAAAACACCATGATATAAATAATAACCATTGTTCGGAGCTTGCTAAGATGTTTTTTCACGCTCAGTGGACATTCTGTCAGAACATATGGCACTGTTTACGCAATAGTAGAGATTCACAGCACCAGCATCCCTGCATATCACCTCAAAGGCATTGGGATCCATTTCTGGTTGGGAAAAATTACCAATGTGAGACTTGATTTTTCTAAGATCATCACTGAAATTTCTTGAGCAGTGAAGAATAATCATCTGCAGAGAGAAATACACTGTCAACTCTTTGGCACTCTTTGTCTGCAACATCCAATATTTTTCTTGTATAAAAATCTTGATTGTCGATGGTATTTGCTTGGCTGCATGGGTGTTAAAGTTATTGTTGTTGTGTCACTTGTTTGGCTCTATGATGCTTCTTGGTTAAGTGCTTGATCTTCTACATTATGTTGACTTTCAGCAACCTTATCAGTGGCTATAATTATATCACCAGCCTGGCTATTAGATTGTTCTTGCTTCTCATTCGATTTTTGGCTGGATTCAAGGTGATGAATGGATGTAGTACCAGTACATTCAGGATTAACATGCATCTGCAGCAGAGTATAGTAAAGTACAGTAAGTTAGCTATAATTATTATATTAATTTACCATAATTAATATGTTGGAGGGTGGAAGGGAGGTGTATAGGATTACTTATATAATTTTATAGTATAATGAATGTAACTCTCAATTTAATTATACATCTGGAGGTAGTGCCCATTCCTGGGTACCATGCCATTATGCCAATTTCATTTAGATGATTGTGTGAAGCCTAGGCACCAGAAAAAGTGCCAGCACAATTGCCGGGCACTCAATCAGAACACAGCCTTAATTCCTCAAACTTCATCTGAATGCCTAATCTTATATTGTGATCTATGATCAAGTAAATTGTAAATTATTTGTGATGCTACTAATTGTAACCTAGTAGTGTAATGTAGTAGGTAGAGAGTAAGGTGGGCGAAGATGATGGGGAAAAGGGGAAGGAATGTGTGGGGGATGAGAGTTATAATTAAATTATAATTAAATTGAGAGTTACATTCATTATAATATAAAATTATATAAGTAATCGTATACACCTCCCTTCCACCCTCCAACATGTTAATTATGGTAAATTAATATAATAATTATAGCTAACTTACTGTACTTTACTATACTCTGCTGCAGATGCATGTTAATCCTGAATGTACTGGTACTACATCCATTCATCACCTTGAATCCAGCCAAAAATCGAATGAGAAGCAAGAACAATCTAATAGCCAGGCTGGTGATATAATTATAGCCACTGATAAGGTTGCTGAAAGTCAACATAATGTAGAAGATCAAGCACTTAACCAAGAAGCATCATAGAGCCAAACAAGTGACACAACAACAATAACTTTAACACCCATGCAGCCAAGCAAATACCATCGACAATCAAGATTTTTATACAAGAAAAATATTGGATGTTGCAGACAAAGAGTGCCAAAGAGTTGACAGTGTTATTTCTCTCTGCAGATGATTATTCTTCACTGCTCAAGAAATTTCAGTGATGATCTTAGAAAAATCAAGTCTCACATTGGTAATTTTTCCCAACCAGAAATGGATCCCAATGCCTTTGAGGTGATATGCAGGGATGCTGGTGCTGTGAATCTCTACTATTGCGTAAACAGTGCCATATGTTCTGACAGAATGTCCACTGAGCGTGAAAAAACATCTTAGCAAGCTCCGAACAATGGTTATTATTTATATCATGGTGTTTTCATTGTCCCAAAGATCCAACTCATTCCAAGTAGCATTATCCAGAACTGAAATGAAAACATGAGACGGAAAGGAGAATCCTGAGAGGAAACCGACATTATTCCCCAAATAATTTATCGATATATTGACGATATATTGCAGCCATAGAGCGCCATCATTGCAGTAATTCAAACGTCGATATTTCACGTTATGTTTTGAAATTTAAAAAACCCCACGGCAAAATTCAAGATATATTTATGTTTTATTGTATTCTTTCGGTTTCGAATATAAAAAGTAAATATTCTGGCTCACGGATGCCTTAGAATACGGCAATATTTTCTCGCTCCTTTTGTTTACAATTTTTATTTTCAAGCATTCTGATTGGCGGAGAGCAAAAATGTCAACAAACGCGCTGATTGGCTTAGAACGAAATCTGCCCTTGTTAAGCACCCTTTAATTCTTACCTATATTTATTGAACAAACGATTTTGTAAATCAAAATGAAATCCACATTTCTAGAAGAAATCGCGTCGCGTTTTGTCGAATACATAAGCATATCGAATATAATTATATTATATATATAATATATTTATATATATTATATATATATATTATATATTATATATATATATATATATAATTATATATATATATACACTTTTATTGTAAAATATTATACAAATTAACAATCTCCGAATATAAAGCATGTTCAATATAAAGTATAAACGAATATGTCTAAACACAAACCTTCCAGAAATATAAGTGCATTTTGTATCTTTTCTCGGTACTTTTGCGAGTATAGTTTGAGCGATCTGTGGGAAATTTCCTGTGTTTTCTGAATGATCGACTAATACTGTCTTACCTCGAGCGATTAGGCTGTAATAAATCGGCATTTCGTGAAATTCGAACGAATTTTTTGTTGACTGTAGTGAGTGAGCATTGATGAGCACAGTAAGCTCAAAGAGGAAGTTGCACCATAGGCATTAGGCAACCCAGCAAACAATGTTGCACGTAAGATTACGTCATTGTCTTAGTGTATTATAATAACGTAAGGCGGATTTGCCTTAGAAAATCTGCTTGGAAAATTGCTTTGCAATTTGCAAACATCGCAATCTCGTGTCATCGCAAAGTTGTGAAAATTACGATATGCCATTGCTTTGACATACTGTTATGATTCAATGCGGTGGTGATACCTAAATGTTTGTAGGAAACGTTTTAGTTTTAAAATATCAGTATGTGTAGTGCGTATGCGCAGAATGCTTTGCCCGCGCCACAGCATCTGTGACCTATGTCTGTGACTGAGTGTGACAGACAGCAGGCCAAAAACAACACGAATTTTTGTCTTTACATTTCGACCATCTTGTGCACAGCTAACAAGGAAGTACGACGTATGGCGAGATATTCTCTCGTCAACAAATGGATTGAGAGCTGTTGACGTTGACTAAATAGCAAACATAAGTTAAAATCGGATAATTTTTGGAAAAATTTACATGTCTGTACTATAAACATAATTTAAACATACTGAATTGAGTTGCATCAGGCTAATTGCGTCGTGTCATATAAATCGGATTTTGCGCTCTACATGCAAACAAAGACATACATAATTTCGTACAAATTGCATTCGTATATACCTCTGATCTATAAATATACTGGACGGCGCAATACTTTGTTCACTGGGGGGGGGAGTTTTTCTTACATTTGCATATATATTTGAATAAAAATGTAAAAATCTCGTTTTCATCTACTAGAGTATATACTCCGTCCAGTTATATTCCTAGGAACCAGAAGCCAGTGATCTAAAGCATGCTAAATATCTACTTGAGGTTCCCAGTTTGGCTAAGGATAACCAGTACAATTATTGTCAATATGATAACAACGACCACAATAAGTATGAGACACATTTTAGTGTTTTGCCACCACATTTTTCGACGAATTCGTACCGCGCTTGTTCTGAATGTGCTGGCCTGTAGACAAAAAAGACGAAAAAACATTAACAAAACATTATATATAAGCTTATGGAGTTGCTGATAGATTGTATGTAGTCAGCGGAGTGTTTGAGTTAGTCATGTTTGTTACATTATGCTTCGTAACCGCTTGACATGTTTATCTATTGTTTGACTGGGAATGCATGATTTATAAATTATTCGAAGCTCTTGGCGACTCTGTGTATGAAAAGAAGATTTCTTTATTTACAGGAAAGTAGATTTAGTGTAACATTATATAACGTGCCCTTTTTTCCACAGACCATATTGTTCAGACCGCAACAAGGTACTAGTTTCAGAGAATGTTCTTCGCATTTGTTAAGTCACCATTTACGGTATTCCCTCCCATGCATGAAGATAATTTAAACCATATTGTATACGGTTAAGCCCGCACCGTCTTGACACTTGCCCATAATCGATGCATGTTTAGCGGAACTATTCTTATAATGCCTATAATACTAAATCCTAATTGTACCATGCATGATACAACATTATGTATCAATAAAAATTTAAATATTATAGCCATATAATCGCAAGTGACGTATGTTTAATTCCCACTGTTCCCCAACGTCCACAACAAAAGATAGATGCTAATGGCGGCCATGTTTAATGGTCCCACTTGTAAATAATCTTTTAAACTATTGAAACTTATTTCACGAGGTACACAGAATTGTACACAGAATTCAATTGCTTTAAATTGTAGCTTGAGAGACTTTAGAACATGAAATATAGAAGTTCTGATACACAGGTATTTAGAGGAATGTCACTTCAATAATCAATCAGGTAAACTGGTAAACCACTGAACTATATAATAATTCCATATAATATTTTTATTTCGCTATTTTTCGCCGAATCCACCATCACATACTTAGTGAAAGTTCATATGACTCGGGTGAATTAATATTGGTGCTACTGTGATCGAGTTACCAACTGGGCAAGTTGAAAATTAAATTGGTTGACCAAAGTGGTTGACCACAGCTTGCATAGTAACTCAGAATTATATAACTCAGTGTTGTACACACAAAAAAGTCACCTTCGATAGCAGGTCGCCATGCAGAAAGAACTTAGGATCATTTATAAAGGTTAAAAGTTGTGATGCGACTACGCACTAAATATCATTATAAGAAAATAAATAAAATAACCCAAGTTTTATGGTCGCTAATTAAACTTGGGATCGCGCGCGCTTACATGCAGTTTGGAGTACCATATACGATGGTGGCTACTTAATACCGTATTTTTATAATAGCTCCAACTTAACGGTACATTTATATAGGTTCACTAATAAAATATATCCCATAATACTATTCCTCACAGAAATAATCAATTCATGAAATAAAAAAAACAAGGGGAGCTAAAATTTTACTAGGTAACATAGGTATATATATATATATATATATATATATATATATATATATATATATTATAATATATATATATATGTAAGGTGTGTTTGTTCTTCTACACAAGTATGACCAACCGGGCAAGCAGAAAATTCTACTTGACCGCGGTGGGAAGTAGAATTTTCTGCTTGCCCGGTTGGTCATACTTGTGTAGAAGAACAAACACACCTTACATATATATATCCACAAGTGAAACATGGCTCAATTAAGAGCAAAAAAGCACAAATATATATATATATATATATATATATATACAGGTGCGCTCAAAAGTTATTGGACACACAGTTTTTTGATTATTTTTTTGCCTTGTGAGGATTTGGTCGGATAATAACAACTTATTTTAACACAGAATTTGAAATAAAATATTTTAGTATTCAAAAGAGCACTCGTGCCTGCCAGCGAGCGCGATAGATTTAAAACAGCTCCCCAGCACAGACGAGACCTAATAGCAGAAGGCACACGAGTGTCTGTATCAACAATAAAGAGACGTTTGAAAGAAGGTAATATGAATGGACGAGTAGCAAGAAAGAAACCATTGATAAGTGAAGTCAATGTGCTGGCCCGTCTAAAATATGCGTTAGCGAAGAGACATTGGACAGCTGATCAGTGGTTAAAAGTTATGTGGTCTGACGAAAGTACATTTAATCTTTTTCCCAATTGTGGTAAAGTGTATATATGTGCGGCGGCGACCTGGCGAAAAGTTCCAACGCAAATGTCTTAAACTCACTGTCAAACACGGAGGTAGAAGTATCATGGTTTGGGGCTGTGTTAGCGGGGATGGTATATGGGTAAAATAAAAAGGTTGGAAGGAAAAGTAGATGCTGAAGCCTATTATCGCATACTACGTCACCAAATGGCGCCCACTATGAAACTCCAAGATAGCCGGCAGTCTTTCGTTTTTATGCAAGACAATGCCTCCGTGCATATACAGCTAAGAAGAATCTAATGTTCCTTGAGCGAAATAACTATGATTTGCTGGACCATCCTGCCCAATCACCTGACTTAAATCCATTGGAGAATATTTGGTGGGCAATAGAACAAGTACTTTTGGACGAACCTCTTCCTTCTAATGCAAATGATTTGTTCGAGAAAATTGAGCAAATTTGGAATAACTATCCCAACGATAAACTGGTTAAATACATAGAATCAATGCCCAGTCGTATAGAGGCAGTTATTCAGGCCAAAGGATGGCATACCAAGTTCTGATTTGGCGTGAAAAAGGTTGTTGTGTGATGTGTGATGTGCTACTGATAATTGTGCAATTTGCATAAATGACAAGACTATATAGTATGTAGCTCGAAATGTTGTATTAAAGCATAAACTTTTGAATACTAAAATATTTTATTTGAAATTCTGTGCTAAAACAAGTTGTTATTATCCGACCAAACCCTCACCAGACAAAAAAATAATAAAAAAACTGTGTGTCCAATAACTTTTGAGCGCACCTGTATATATATATATATATACACCCGTTTGCAAAAACGTTGGCCGCAGATAGATATATAGATAGATACCCAAAATCTAATTAGAATTGCATATGTTGTGTAATATGATTGAAATCCCATGCAAATGTAATCATATGCAATTCTAATTAGACTTTGAGTATCTATCTATCTATCTATCTGCGGCCAACGTTTTTGCAAATGGGTGTATATATATATATATATATATATATATATATATATATATATATATATATATATATATATATATATATATATATATATATATTTATCAATGAATGTTCTCCGGATTTAAAATTGTTTTTTATTGAGCTTTCGACTCGGTACTTCGAAAAAACAATTTTAAATCCGGAGAACATTCATTGATAAACAAATATGCCTGGATTACAAATTTTTAAACATATATATATATATATAATATTATATATTATATATATTATAATAATTATATATATATATATATATATATATACACTATAAAAGAGAACGGTGTATGGCTTGAACTTTTAATAAACTGATGAAGCTGTAAATAGCGAAACGTTTTTAATTATTTTAATATAAAAAATTTTATGTCCGCAGAAGTTGAAGTCTCTTTTGTAATAGTATTGTCATATATATATATATATATATATGATGTGCCGGAGGGTGCTACTCTGAGTTTCCATGCAAGCTGTGGTCAACCACTTTGGTCAAGCTATGTAATTTTCAGCTTGCCCAATTGGTTACTCGATCAGCGAGTAGCACCAATATTAATTAACCCGAGTCATATGAACTATCACTAAGTATGTGATGGTGGATTTGGCGAAAAATAGCGAAATAAAAATATTACTCACACTGTAGTCGAGTTCCTCTGTTTTATCCAACAAAATGTCGATTCTTTCCCCTCGTTCAAGGACCTTTTCTTGAATATAAAGTAAAATATAAAGTAAAATATAAAGTAAAATATAAAGTAAAATATCTTATAATACAATAATCGATATATATGCAATGGCGTATTCTAAATGAAAATTTTCCTCCGGACTAACTGAAGTTGAAATAAATTTTTTAGAAATTAAACTAGAAACTATATTCCCACCGTGGTCAAGCTAATTTTTCAGCTTAGCCGGTTGGTGACTCAGAGTATATCATCACAATACTCATTTCATATATACATCTGAGTCTTTGCACTATTACTACCATTATTTTCCCGCGTATCGGACCTTAGCCTTCCTGTTATGGAAAACTTATAATAGTATAGTTGATATAAACTACATCCTACCAATATTTTCCGTCATAATCCCTTTGACGTCTTCAACATCCTTTTGAACTCTTGTCAGGCGATCCGATGATGGGTTTGACTGATTGCCTTTCGAATTGAACGATTCCTGCAAAGAAAATGCTGTTTTTTTTCTGCTTCAAATCGAAATACACTGCACGAGCAAAACAAATAAATGAGTGTACTGAGGTGGGAGATAAAGAATCTTCGATAAAACGATGGATACACTTCATACATTTGATAGCAAGTGCAAATTAGGATCATGCAAGGTTCTGAACTACGTCTTTCTCTGTATAGTATAAAATATTAACTGATGAATATACGATCATTTGGGTTCAAGTATGAAGCGTTAACTATTTCACGGGTTTGTTTACGTTTTAAACATTACTAATTTTGGATTATTTTTTAACCTTCAACACCTTCAACATTGGACAAAAAGTTTGCAAAAACGTATCGAAACGAAGACATATACTAATCAAGTGACGATTTGGCTTTTCAATACATGCATGTAAAAGACCATAGCCATGCATGGGCCTAGTTGAGACGAAGTCCTTTATTTATCTCACAGAATACGTTTTCTTTGGTACTATTTTTCAAAATCGTTCAGCGTAACTCTAAGACTAAGACATCGTAACGACGACTGCTGTTTTTTCAGGGTAAATTTGATCTATCGAGTCTTAAAAATTGCATGTGGTTTAAACCCGTTTAGAAATTG